GAGCGAGTATGCATTTTATTTCCAGATCAGGGAAATTCCTTGTGTAGGGGAGTTCTACATGTAGAACTCACAGTCTGATTTAGATACTCTTAAGCATGATTATGGATTTCCCCATGTAAAGGACAACTAGCTGGCCAGAAAAAATATATAGCACCTTTCATATCTGGAATAATCTCAAAGCACTTAAACACAGCTGATTGGGAGCCCCAGCAGGAGGGCGCGGGGGGAGGTGGGCTAGTGTCAAAAAATCCACTAATTTTTAAATTAATTTCCTTTTTAAGTCCCTGTGCCATATCTACTGAAGGAATTGGTAGCCATCTAGTGAAGTTTATCCTTAGCCTCCACCAGGTGGTGTAATTGGCTGCCACATTTCGTTCACCAAATATACAGTCAATTCACTTTACAGTATATTCTGTGAAGTGAGTTGAGACATCTAGACTTAATAAGGTGCTATATCAAGTGCAAGGATTATTATTATCATAATCTGATTTTGACTTTTGGGGAGGTCCTTAAGCCTGACATTTCTCATGACCTTAGCCTTAAGACCATTAAAATTAAAATTAAAACCAGCCTTTAAAATTTAAGACTAGCGCATTGGGCAAGTGCCGAATCTCTACCAAATTTCAGCAAGCCACAGTGCCTTCAAGACACAGTCGCTAGTCTGGCAAAGTGCTGACCACTGAATGAGCATCTCTTGAGAGTAACTTTGGTGATGAGATTTTACCGCTGTACAAAACGTTTAATTTTTCCCGACTCCTCCGTCCCCCCCGCATCCCCGCGTAGGTCATCTCCTCCAACCTTCACTGCGAGGAGATGCTGGATTTCCTTGAATCCAAAATCAAGGGAATCCGCTCCGCAGTCACTACCCCTCCAACTTTCACCCACCCCTTCCCTCCCAGACTCCGACTCCTACCCATCCTCCCCTAAACACCTTCGAACCCGTTTCCCCACCCTCTGTCACCAAACTCATCCTGTCCCTGAAACCCACCACCTGCTCCCTTAACCCCATCCCCACTCCACTCCTTATCTCTCAGCTCCACCTCCTTGCCCCACTTCTCACAGACATCATCAACCTGTCCCTCTCCTCTGGCTCTGTTCCCATTCCCCTAAAAACTGCCACCATTACTCCCACTTTGAAAAAACCCTCCCTTGATGCATTGCAGCTATCAAGCTACCGGCCCATCTCCAACCTCCCCTTCGTGTCCAAGATCCTTGAAAGAGTTGTCGCCTCCCAGCTGCGCTCTTTCCTCCCTACCCATGCATTATTTGAACCCCTTCAGTCGGGTTTCCGTGCTGCCCATAGTACAGAAACTGCCCTGGTCAAGGTCACCAATGACATCCTGACCATCTGTGACCAGGGCTCCCTCTGCCTCCTCGTCCTCCTCGACCTATCGGAAGCATTCAATACGGTCGACCACACTATCCTCCTCCACCGCTTGTCCTCCCACCTCAACCTTCAAGGCCCTGTCCTTGAGTGGTTTAGGTCGTACCTCTCCCACCGTCTTCATTTTGCTTCCACAAACAGCTTTTCCTCCACCCCCCGCACTGTCTCGTGTAGTGTCCCTCAAGGCTCTGTCCTCGGTCCCCTCCTCTTCACCCTCTATATGCTCCCCCTTGGTGACATCATCCGCAGACATGGGGTTAACTTCCACATGTATGCGGATGACACCCAACTCTATCTTTCCTTCTCTACCCTCAACTCCACGACCACCGATGTCCTGACAGCTGCCTGTCCGACATCGAGTCCTGGACGAGAGGCAACTTTCTTCAGCTCAACGTGCGCAAAACTGAGGCCCTCCTGATTGGCTCACGTGAGCGCCTCCGCACCTCAGGCGCTGACAGCATCAGCATCCAAGGCTGCACTCTCCACCTCTCAAAGCCAGTCAGGAACCTCGGGGTTCTGTTCGACCCTGAGCTGTCCTTTCTCCCTCATATCCGCGCCACAACTGGCATCGCCTTCCATCACCTCCGGAACATCGCCAGACTACGGCACTACCTCACCCCTCACGCTGCTGAAACCCTGGTCCACGCCTTTATCACCTCAAGGCTGGACTATGGGAACTCTCTCCTCGCCGGCCTTCCCGGCACCTCCCTCCACAAGCTGCAGGTCATTCAGAACTCTGCAGCTCGTGTACTGTCCCGCACCAGGCTTCGGGACCACATCACTCCCACCCTCGCTCGCCTCCACTGGCTCCCCATCCCCCAGAGGATTGATTTCAAGATCCTCATCCTCACCTACAAGGCCATTCACGGCCTTGCTCCCTCCTACCTTTCCGACCTACTATCCCCCTACTTACCTGCCCGTACCCTCCGTTCCTTTGGCTCCAGTCTGCTCCACATCCCCCGCCCTAACCACCCTACCATCGGTGGCCGGGCCTTCAGCCTCTCAGCCCCTAGGCTCTGGAACTCTATCCCCCAGTGCCTTCGCCGCCTCCTCCCTTTCCTCCTTCAAGGCCGGTCTCAAGACCTTTCTCTTTGACCGTGCCTTCAGCTCCCCTCTCGACCCTCTAACCCCTCCTCGCTCCCTCCCTTCCTTCCCCTCACCCTGACCATTTCCCCCCTGCTCGGGTCCTGACTCAACTGTCCAGCGCCTTGGGACGTCCTCTTGATGTGAAAGGAGCTCTATAAATGAAATCTTGTTGTTGTTGTTAATAAGAATCAGGAACAAAAATCTAAATTAAATTAGTTTATTACTTTACACAGCTTACAGAGGAGATAGCAAAGTCTCAGTGAATCTTTAAAAGCCATGAATAAACATGTCTACAAATATACATGTATTCAGACCTGTGCGGTATTTGGCAATATCAGTTTTGAATTTGTATATTAAAAAGTACGCTGTTTGATAAGGAACTTATTTCATTAATTAAAATTAACTCAAATGAGTGTGGAAGATCTTTCGAAAAGGTGGAATAAGTTCTGTTTCTCACCATTTCCCATTTATTTTACTTCTGATTGCTAAAAAAAAACTATTTATGCAATGACATTATACAATACAGGTAACTATGAGATTTACCCTTATTAAGTTGGAGGGAAAAGATATTTTAGCAAACAGCAAAAACATCTGATTCTGGAATACTGTTCTATGGAATTAATACATCTGTTACTTAAATATCTATGGAGAAGTTGCCTATGAAACAGGAAGCAGAAGAACAGGTACATCGAGGGGAAAGTTTATGTGGTGAGGTGAGCAACTATGAAACTTTTTGATTCAAGAAAACATTTTTTAAAAATGGAATGGGTAATGCTTTATTAAATTGGGAAAACGGTAACATTTCTTTAAATGAAGACTATAAAAAATATATATATACAGTATACACAATTTATAGGTAAATGAGAGGTTTGATTCTAAATACACTAAATATACAAAGGTGAAGCTAGGATGTTGCTTTAGTAAAAAATGTATTTGTTTCTCTTATTCATCTAACCAAAAGCACTGCATCCGGAGCAATATGGTAGAATGTGTTTACACACCTCACCTAGTCACTAACTTTTAATTAACCACTGATTCTGGATTAACAATGGCTTCTATGTATATAAGTGCCCTCTCTCACATATCTGTAATATCTGTAACATTTTCCTACAGGTAGGAAGCAGGTTTAGTTCAAGATAAACGCTTGAGACAAGTTTAGAGAGGAGCTTTTTGGTTACATATATAAGGTCTTTGCCTTCATTTACATCTGACATAAAGCTATTTTTGTTTAATCCATCCTTCTTTCAGTGAACTTGGATAGAAACCAATCGCACAGAAAGAATAAAAAGATCATTATCGCTAAGGTTTCCACTAGGCAGAAGCAGTTAAAGACAACTCTGGCCGCTCACTATTTCAGCTCATTTCACCAGAACCTGAATGCAGTTGATTTGGTTTGATGTGGTTGTGGGAAGATACATATTATCTCCCACCTATTACAGATTAACCACAAGTCCATTAATAAAGCACCTCAACAACTCCCAGTGAATATCCTTTTAGACCTGGGTGCAAGCAGTTTATCTTAATAAAATATTGTTGCATTTTGATTGTGTGGCATACAAATACTGCCAACTGAGTCTGTATCCACCAGTATCTAATTGTGGAAAATAATTCAGACAGAGAGAGTTATGTGAATTCTCTAAGGAATTCTGCAGAATAATGTGGGAATGGATTTGTGTTAAGAAGCATTACTAAATCCCTGTTTGTAATGATTGGTGGCCCTTTGCACCACTTCTTAAACATTTTTTCTCCTTTCTTGCCTGCTTTCTTTCAATTGATCTCCACAAATTTATCCCTCACTATTATCAATGTGATCTCTGCTTGGATCGTTCTTCTAAGAGTTTCCTCTGTCAAGCTAGCTAAAAGTAGCAATCTTTTCATTACTTGTTTATCATGGGACGAAAGAAATAGAAAAGATATTATGTTTAGCAGTCAGTGCCTGGTAGATCCTGCTGATTGAAAGATCATTGTTAAATATTAAACATTTTTAAAAACCTGCTTTCATTTGAATTTGTACAGAATATCTCACATGAGATCAGAGGCATTCATACACTTTTTTTTTAAAAATGTTGTTTTGTTCATCAATGTGAGAAAAGTTGTTGCTCAAAAACACAACCATTCCTCTCAGTGCCTGTAGTCTGTATTAAGCACTCTCAGTAGAATTATAGTAGGCCGCTTCCACTTTGCTCAAAATATGCCGTAACAAATTATGAATCATCACATAAACCAAAATATTTCATTCACTTTCACCTTTTGCCACCATGTTTAATGCTTCAACATTTTTGGCCAGGTCTCCCATCCTACCATCAGTGGCCGGGCTTTCAGCCTCTCTGCCCCCACTCTTTGAAACTCCATCCCACAATCCCCTCACCTTGCTCCCTCTTTTGCCTCCTTCAAGGCACGACTCAAGACCCTCCTTTTTTGAGCATGCCTTCAGCCGCCCTCCTACCCCCTCTGTCCTCCCTCATCCCAACCCTGCCCCCCACCCCCACCTTGACTGTTCAGCACCTTGGGAGGCTCTCCCGACGTGAAAGGCGCTTTACAAAGGTAATTTTGTTGTTGCTGGCTGGAGTCCATCTGGGAGCCGGTTTTTACATAAACGCTCCTTTATGGGATAATTATGAGTATTATTTTCAGTAACAAAATGCCAGAACAATGGTCTCCCCAGTTATCACTGGAATGTATTTTGGGAGAGAATGAATAATGCCCCAAAATGATTGCTTTCAAGATGTCTCCAATGAGCAATTTTGATGCATTTTACTCACCCTTTAAAATTAGCTCTCTCCCTATTTGATATTAAAGAATCTGACTGTTAAGTAGCAAACTTTGACCTTTGGTGTATCCTCAAAAAAATTCCAAACTGCATTTTTTGTGTTGTTTCCTTCTTTTTTAAAAAAAAAACAGCTGTCCCTAAGGCTTTGTAGAAGTGAGACTGTGAGTCAGAGGTAGATTTGTGCTGCAGATTTATTCCTGGGTGAAGACTAACCAAACATATTCACCTTCCTGGAATGTTTTCATCCAGCAAAAGAAAGGAAATTTTCATTTCATCAGTCTGGCTGGATTAGAACCAAGGTTCAAAATATGCTGGAATAAGATTTTGGTCTATTTGGCTTTACTCTAATATCAATATATTTTGAAAAATGTTAGTGATCTAAAAATAATTGTTTTAAGAAATTATAAAAAAAAGTCTAAATTGGGCTGATATACTCTGATATACTCTGAATTGCTTTAGACAAATGCATGTAAGGAATTCAAGTACTTTCACTTCTTGTCATATCTCTCTGGAATCGTTCACTAATTAAACTCAGTACAGTTCTTCTGACTCTCTTTGAGAGCAGAAAGTACATTATTGGATCCAGGCAACTGTTGAAAGCAGAAAACAGGAGCGATATCTCATTTATTTTATTCACCGTGTTTTTCCAGTAACAACTTGTTTCTTGTAACTGAGCTGCTATGTAAAAGAACCGGAAAATATGATAGGGAACAAAACACACGCTGAAAATGAAAAGAACGATGAATGTTTTTCTTGCAGCTCTTCTGTGAATCTTGTTGTTAGAAAAACCAACTCTTTCCTTGCCGAGTTTACACAGTTTCCTAGCAATCTTTCCATATGAAAGAACGAGGAAAAAGAATACGATCCAAAAACCGAACACAATGATGAGATTGATGTAGGTTCTAAAATTCTTTCTGTATCTGAAATGAAAGCATTTAGAATTGTCTAGCGAATTATCTTTTTTTTTATTCACAACCATCGGTATAACGACCAGAATTGAGATAACCCAGATCACACCACAGATGATACTGCTTCCAGTGACCCCCTGTAATTTGAAGTGCTGTAGTGGCCTTGTGATTTTCAAGTACCGATCCACACTAATGAGGCCCAGCAGTGTAATGCTGATATACATATTCATGTAAAATATATTTCCTACTAATCCACAGAAACTTTTTCCTAGCATCCACACATTTTGATTTGCGTGATACGCTATTCTGAACGGGAGGCAGATGATCAGGAGAAGGTCTGCAATGGCCATGTTGATCAGGTACACCTGAATGGAATTTTTCTTGCCACGAATGAAGAGGAATATAAACAGTGCTGAAATATTGCTCGTCAGCCCGGTTAGAAAAATCAAGCTGTATGCCGTAGGTAAAAGAACAATCAGAAAGTCTTCACTTATGGTACAGTTTGAACCATCTGTTGCATTTCCATGCATTGTAAAGGCATTTACTGATTTGCTCCCATTTGCTGATTGTAAATAATTCATTGGTAGACACAGTCGGTAATTCTTTATTTTCTGGCTTTTACTTCTGGAATAAATTAGAATCTCAATTAATATATTTATATTACAATAAAGCTATCATCAATAAGGCGCCAATATTATTACATAAAGCAAAGTAGCAAAAATAATAATGTACTGGTTGAAGTCTATTTCAGTCACACTGCAGATAATAATAACAAATAATAGTGTTTATATTTGGTATCGCGGATATACATCCCAAAGGGCTTCACAGAATATACTGTGAAGTGGACCCGACTGCATTTTGTGGGTGACTGCGGCAGCCAATTTCCATACAGCAATGTCTCAAAAACAGCCATGAAGTGAAGATTGGTAAATGATTGACTATATAAAACAGTTATACTGTTTATCACTGCACATCCATAATCATATTCTCTGGTTTTCTCCATCACTTTTATTTCTCTCTTTTTCCCCTCCACCAATCATCTCAATTTCACAAATTTCTCGTACATTTCCACTCTGATTTTCCTTTGACTTTCTGAATATCTAATTTCTGCACTGTCTCTCTAAATGGTCATTTTGGATTGTAGGCAAAATGTTGGTCAAATTTATTAATTAACAAATTAACAAACAAATTTTACAGGAAGGCGAAGTAAGAATCAATAACCAAACCACTGTGGGTTTCTTGTGCCCCCTTGTGGGTCTAATTTTGTACAGACTGTTCAAAAGTGGTGCCTATTGGCTTATCCAAAGGTATCATAAAAACAGTGGGTTAAGAGAAATAGACTATTAAATCCAAACATCGAGACTGCTGTCTATCATCTGATATCTTCATTTATTTCCACATATATTTGTGAATCTGATGCATTGCAACCCGAGTGAAAATCTGTCTTCTATCAGTGAGCAAGTTAAAACTGCTGTCTTTTTGTCTCTACTCAGTTTATTTTCTTGGTTTATTGTGTTACGCAGGCTATTTAAAAAATGGGAAGGAATGTGTGCCCGAGCTACAGACAGGAAGATGGTGGTAATGCTCTCATGCATTTCATGCTAGATATATTGCTTACTGGGAAGCTCGTAGGGCGTCCCTAATACCTACCACCCCTAGTAAACCTGCGCTGGTTGGCTGCCAAACGACTGACTAGTGGGGGGGGGGGGGGGGGGGGTTGGTGATAAGCTTGGTCTGTGGCTCCAAGGTGACATGCTTGGCAACGGAATATCAGAATCGAGCCAGCCTTTTGTGGCAGTCTCTATATCTAGTTCCTGAGCCATGCGGGTCCACAGTACTCCAGGGCACTGCTGATACAATACAATACAAAATTACTGTAGGTTAGCACCTTTCAAATTGAGAGGATGTCCCAAGGTGCTGGACAGTAAGGGATTTGGATCTGAGGAAGTGGGGGTAGGATCAGGGAGGGTGGGGGGCAGGGAGGGTAGGAGGGTGGTTGAAGGCGCAGTTGAAGAGGAGAATCTTGACAGCACAGTCATTGTGGCTTATCAGCAGGACCTGGAAGGGCTGACCAGTCACTGGGGCAGGATGTCATTCCACTCAGCTCCTCTACAAGGCAAACTCTCACGTAGAATGAAAGCAGAGCTTTGGAGATATAAGTAGTTTATGTAAAATTCCTAAACTTTCTCTCCGAACTATTATGTGTGCTTGTCTTAATTAAATTGCTTGTTTGAATGATTTGCAACGCTCCAATTATGACTTATTTTGGTGACTATTGCTTATATTTGTATACATTTATTTTAAAGTAGAAATCCTTTCTTTCATCTATTTCATGTTTTTTCCGCTCTATCTCTCTCTTCCTCCACCCCCACCTCAATTTTTGGACCATTCGGCCCATTCCCAACCATGTCTGCAGTCTGTCTATGATTACAGTGGTGAGACATCACCTTGTTGACGAGTATCAACAAGATAATAATAATCCCTCCAAAAAAACCAAAAAACAATAATAAAAAAAAATTGGTCATTTTCAATCTACGACTGTTTGTGGGACATTGCTGTGCGCAATTGGCTGCCGCGTTCGCCCACAAATATACAGTCAATTCACTTTACAGTGTGTTCTGTGAAGCGCTTTGGGACGTCCTCCCGACGTGAAAAGCGCTATATCAAATGCAAGGATTATTATTATTATATTATTATTATTGTACCGGCTCTTTGAAAAGAGTTATCCAAATCAATCCCACTCCCCCGCTCTCTCCCCACAGCCCTGGAAACTTATCCTCCCCAAATAATTATCTACTTCTCTCTTAAAAGTTATTATTGAATGTTTAATAAAGGTTTACCCTCACATTATGATTAAAGGTTGTGGATAATCTGAGATTTGAATGTCATCAGACAACTATTTTTTATCACGTACTACTGTTTTTTTCCCCTGCTCACTCATTGTGGCAATGAAAAATTACTGAAGTATTAATTACAGTAAGAAAAAATTCTATAGAGCCAGCAATCATGTGGATAAATATGCCACCTATGCAAGAGTAAGCAATAGAAAATAGAATGGTGCATCAAGGCAGCAATAGGTTCGCTACAATTGACCGCAGTGCCTCGTTTGATCACTATCTCTACATCCATTAAAAATTTTCCATGTGGATACTGGATCAATACTGGATTTGGCATTTATCCTTCTCTTCCCCCCCCCCCCCCAGAAAGGGCCATGATAATAATAATAATCCTTTAATTTGATATAGTGCCTTATCTTGCGTTCGAATCATTTCGAAGCACTCCACAGGATTTTACTGTGAAGGACAGTGACTGTGTAATTGTAGGCAAACACAACACCCAATTTGTGCGTAGATCATACACCATGAAAAAGAGTCAAAAACAACTGAAAGAAGAGGATGGAAGAAGATTAAAGGTTAAATTTGGCAAGAAAAATAATTGAAATAATTCTCAACAGTAGCTGAGTACCAATTATGTGACCGTTTGAAATACAAATAATTTTACTAAACGCTCCTTTGCTTTCTCCTTATTGCATTCATTTGTAATGAGTACAGCATATTGCAACAAAATGTTAAATATCCACATTTGAGAAACTATTATAATGATATTAGTCTTATGCTAAACGGTTGAGAAACAAATTTGTAGAAAGTCTTTAAACGTTTTGTTCTTGAAAATTCATACAGTTCATCACTTACCTATAAAGAATACGTCTAATTTTTGCATATGTAGGGGTTGCTGGTTACCAACTGAATACAAATTGAATTTTGTTTTGCTTTCCTCCAATGTACATAAAGTCCTGAACTTCAGTGAAGAGAGCCCCAGTTCCAAAAGATCTCCTTTACTTCAGAAAGATTCGACTGCAATCTCTTCCTCTTTTCAGTAAAGATGAAATGGATGTGGGTTTCCTTTCTGCAACAGTTTCTGCTGGCGTAAACATTTAGCTATTTGCAGCTGTTTCCTTGTAGCCACTGAAAGATACGTGGTTCATTAGTGTTATTTTATACAATTTGTTGAGGTTAATAATAATAATAATCCCTGCATTTGATATAGTGCTTTTCACGTCTTCTAGACATCTCAAAGTGCTTCACAGAATACGCTGTAAAGTGAACCGATTGTATATTTGACAGGTTATTGGATATTGTAAGTCAAAAAGTGCCTCAATCCATTCTTCACCCATTGGTAGAGGTTGTTAACCTTTATCAAACCCGCCAAAAAAATTCAAACATTAAACTTGGAACAAAGAGACTATTTACAACAACAACAACAAGATTGCATTTGTATAGCGCCTTTCATGTTGGGAGGATGTCCCAAGGCGCTGGACAGTGTACAGCATTTCAGACCCAAGCTGGGGTCAGGGGGGAGAAGGGGGGGTGGCCAATGGCATGGTCGAAGAGGAGGGTCTTGAGGCAGGACTTGAAGGAGGCCATGGAAGGGGCGAGGCGGAGTGATTGGGGGATGGAATTCCAGAGGTTGGGGGCAGATTGGCTCCCGCCAATGATGGGGCGGCTGGGTCGGGGGACGTGGAGCCGGCTGAGAGGAGGGAGCGGCCGGGTTGGTAGGGGGTTAGGAGGTCGCAGAGGTAGGGTGGGGCGAGACCATAGAGGGCTTTGTAGGTGAGGACCAGGATTTTGAACTGGATCCTCTGAAGGATAGGAAGCCAATGGAGTCGGGCGAGAATGGTGGAGATGGGGTCACGGAGTTGGTGCGGGAGAGGACACGGGCTGCAGAGTTCTGGATTATCTGCAGCCTGTGGAGAGAGGAGTTGGTAAGGCTGACAAGCAGGGAGTTTGCATAGTTAAGCCTGGAGGTGATGAAGGCATGAACAAGAGTTTCAGCGGCCTGAGGGATGAGGTAGTGGCGGAGTCAGGCGATGTTACGGAGGTGATGGAAGGCAGAGCAGATCATAGCTTGGATGTGGGGATCGGGGAGGGTGGAGAGCAGGGGGAGAAGGAGGATGACCAAAGGCACGGTCAACGAGGAGGGTTTTGAGACGGGTCTTGAAGGAGAAGGGAGGGGGTGAGGTGGGGGCACTGCGGCATGGAGTTCCAGAGAGTGGGGAAGAGTGTCCGAAGGCCCGCCTGCCAATGGTGAGGCGGAGGAACATGAAGCAGGCCAGAGCCCGCTGAGTGGAGGAAGCAGGCAGGGTGGTAGGGGGTTAGAAAGTCGCAGAGCTAGGGGGGAGCAAGGCCGTTGAGGACCAGGATCTTGAACTGTATCTTCTGTGTGATGGGAAGCCAGTGGAGTCGGGCGAGTGATGGGGCGTGAGAGGTTTGCGGAGCCTGGTGCGGGGGAGGACACGGGCTGCAGAGGTCTGGATGATCTGCAGCCTATGGAGGGAGGAGTTGGGGAGGCCGACAAGCAGGGAGTTTGTGTAGTCAAGCCTGAATGTCATGATTGTGTGTATGAGGGTCTCGGCGGCCTGCGGTGTGAGACAGTGGCGGAGCCGGGCGACACAGGGACCCATTCAGAAACACACACATATATAGAAGTGAGACACGCAGAAAGACAGACACTCACAAACACACACACAGCAATCACAACAGTGGGGCGTCCGAGTGAAGCCCATTTGCCTCTTGTGCCACACCACACGTTGGTTCCAGAGCCACTCCACCCACAGTGACTTCAGGTAACCAGCGGGCCAGAAACTTCATTTAGAGCGGGTTTGTAGTGAATGAGGTTGTAGATTCCACGGAAAAAGTGCAGCCACACTTTCCTGTTGGCCCGGGTTAGAACCTTCAGAAGGAAGTGATAGAAAATCTAAATCATTGACAAACTGGTGTGAAATGGTAAAAGTGTTACCTATTCAGCTTCTAACTGACAACTGGGTTTCACATAAAAATTGTGCAGGGTGTGTTGGTGTACGTCCTCCTGGCCAAAGCCCTCTGGAGGACTCGTGCCTACATAGTCACCCCGGATATAGTCACTGAACTCTTTTCCCTTGGAGTGACAATATACCAGGAGTTTACGGTATACATTTACCTTATTCTAAATGTCTATAATACTGTTTCTCTTTTCAGCAAATCAAGTCAAACTTAATTGAATTTTTTTTATTACTTGGTACCTCAAAGCCTTTGATTGTTTGGAATTCTTGGAGCGCTTGTATTTTAATGACTTTGCTACGGTATACCTACCAGGACTATACACCTTGTTGCTGAATTGGCCTTACTAGTGCTTGGTGCAGAATTAGTATAACTCACTCTGACTAGTAATTCAGTGATCACCAAATGATTCCCAGTGTTTAATGTTTTCAACAGTTACTTTACATTACTTCACAGATATTTTGAGTCTGATCAAGACTATACCTAAATCCTAAAACCTAAATTCTTTTCCCTAGCTACCTTCGAATTCAAGATCCTTATTCTCACCTACAAGGCCATTCACGGCCTTGCTCCCTCCTACCTCTCCGACCTACTATCACCCGACTTACCTGCCCGTACCCTCCGTTCCACTGACTCCGGTCTGCTCCACATCCCCCGACCCAACCGCCCTACCATCGGTGGCCGGGCCTTCAGCCTCTTAGCCCCCAGGCTCTGGAACTCCATCCCCCAGTGCCTTCGCCTTGCTTCCTCCCTTTCCTCCTTCAAGGCCGGTCTCAAGACCTTTCTCTTTGACCGTGCCTTCAGCTCCCCTCTCGACTCTCTACCCCCTCCTCGCTCCCTCCCTTCCCTCCGACCATTTCCCCCCTACTCGGGTCCTGACCCAACTGTCCAGCACCTTGGGACGTCCTCTCTACGTGAAAGGCGCTCTATAAATGACATCTTGTTGTTGTTGTTGTTCCCAAATTATCACCCTTTCTTTCCATACATTGGAAGCTCTCAAAGCCCACCACAGCCTTGCTCCTTCCTGCCTCTGTGACCTGCTAATTCCATATCAACCTGTCCTCTCCCTTCACTCAGTAGGCTTCGGCCTGCTCCATGTCCCCCATCCGGCACGCCCCACCATCAGTGATTGGGCCTTCAGCCTCTCTGCCTGCACTCTTTGGAACTCCATCCCGCAGCCCCTTCGCCTCGCTCCCTCCCTTGCCTCCTTCAAGGCACGTCTCATACCCTCCACTTTGACCACACCTTCAGCCACCTTTCTACCCCTATCCTCCCGCCCTGCACCACTCCTGATTCCGACCCCTGCTCGGGTCCAAATCCCTGACTGTCCAGCCCCTTGGTTGTTGTTGTAGTACATGTCTTGCTGCAGTATTTACTTCCCCTAAATGCATCAGATATATCCATTTCATTTTCAGCCATTATACCTGTACCTAACTGGTTCAGATCCTTCTGAATACTATCAATTGTATTTTTATTTTTCACCTGGCTACACACCATGTTGCCATTTGAAATTGTTAAAATACCGCACTATAAATCCTATCTCCATATCAGTCACGTGTGCAGCAGTAAAATATATTTTCCGCTCCTCTCTACCCCTCTCCCAAAGGTGTTTGATTTCAGTTTCCTCCAACTGGAGTATTGTTTATCAGTTTGTCACCTTTTAGTGCTTTGCCCAAGTAGTTATTACTCATATAAGCCTTGTTTTTGAGTGTCGCCAAAATATTTAACCACAAAAGGCTCAATCTTATCCTCACCTGGCAACTACAATAGCATTTCCATTGATAAGAAATAGGAACCCTGGCTGGTGTTCACTGTCTCTATAATACAGCCATGACAGTCTTCCAAGTCTGAACTAAAATCTGGCCTGTTAAAGCCATTTTTAGCAAATGAAAGACATTTTTCCCAACTTGTTCTCAATTCTAAAATTAATAGTAATCGTTGCATCTGATGTAGCATCTTTCACGTCAGCAGGACATCTCAAAGCGCTTAAAAGGATGTACTATAAAGTGGAATGACTGTGTACTTGTAGGCAAATGTAGCAGCCCGTTTGCACAGCAATGTCCCATAAACGGATCAAAGATTGGGTTAGATTAGACAGAAGTCATGTTAGTAAATATAAAAACACAGGATTGACAGACAGGATTGTTGAAATCCAGACTTTTGATACTGTCTCCGAATTATTCTTTCTCAAAACCATGGAAATCCTTACCTGTCTATCCTCCCTTCTTCCTACAATCTACAAACTTTAAAAATATAAGATTACCATGGACAGAAACCAATAATAATAATCCTTGCAATTGATATAGTGCCTTATTACGTCTTCAAGACGTCTCAATGCGCTTCACAGAACCAAGGTCAAATAAATTATGTAGTTCCTTTGCCAAGATCACAATATGTTCATGTTACTGTTCCCTAATGATGCTTCCCTAATGATACTTTCCCTAATGACCTTAATAGGCAGGGCTGATCAGCCTCACCTGAAGGATGTCCACTTTATGATCAGTAGGCTATGAAAATAGAACTGCAATTCGGAGAAGCTGTTTATGCAGTGTCCTAACTATCGTGGAGTCCTGTAGCTCAGTGGTTAGAGCACTCGCTTTGCAAGCGAGAGACCTGAGTTCAATTCCAGGCAGGGCGAAACCTTGGGCAAGTTTCCTTACTCCACACGTCTAATAATAATCCCTCCAAAACCAAAAACAATAATAAATTGGTCATTTTCAATCTACGACTGTTTGTGGGACATTGCTGTGCGAAATTGGCTGCCGCGTTCGCCCATAAATATACAGTCAATTCACTTTACAGTGTGTTCTGTGAAGCGCTTTGGGACGTCCTTCCGACGTGAAAAGCGCTATATCAAATGCAAGGATTATTATTATGACATTGTCTGGGGAAAAGGAAAGGGAGAAGTGGAACAGATCACTGGAATCAGCAAATGTGATTGCAGAACCCAGTACAACCATAGGAAAACTAAATCAAGATGTCACAGGAAGAGGTGAAAGGAAGGAAAATATCTAACATGAAACAAAAACAGAAGTCACTGTGAACACTCAGCAGGTCAGGCAGGATCTATAGAGAAAGGAAAGTGACCCAATGTATCAGGTCCATGACCCTTCGACAGAACTGGAGTATGTTGGAAGGGAAGGCCTTTAAGGGCTAACAGAGATGGGGGAGGCAGGGCAAAGAAGGCAAAGGAGAAAATGGGGTAGAGGACAGGGGATGATGGGTTAAAGAGGTGTTAATGATGTAAAACAAGGGGGGGTGGCATACAACAAAACAGGGGAATAGAGGTGTTAATACTGCAAAACAAAGGGTAGTGAAATGCAACAAAATAGGCAGACCAGAGAGAGTAAAGGTATATCTACTATTAAAAATAATGTGTTCTGACAACAGACAAGTGGTGGTATGAACACAGGAAAGGGAAATGAGGTTGAAAGTGGAACAACTATCAGTTTGAAACATTCTCCCAGCTTTAGCACATCACTGATCTTGAAAGATAGGTGCCTCTTATTCTTTGTTGATCAGCAAATTCCCAATAATCAAGGAATCACTTGTTTGATATATTTATTTGCATTTCTGTAACTTTACATCTTGCCTGTTAAAGTTCAGTGTGAATACTAAAAACAATACTCAAAAAATACAGACTGGTTAAAGTGGTTTCAGTGGTATTAGAAAATGACTATTCCTGCCAGTAACTCTTCTGATGTATTTTCTTCTCTCTTAATGCTTCTCTTCTGATAGCAATGACTCACAACGTGATAGCAGTTCATAGGATCTCATAGCTGTCTGATACCTTACCCCAGCAGTCTCATATGATATTGTCGGGGGGTGCTGTGGGAGTCAGATCCAAACTCAATCTTGTTGTCTCCCAACATCTATACCCATGCCATTTCAGCAAGAGTTCCTGGAACCTCACTACCCCCACCTCAAGGCTACGGACACTGAGGCTAGTTAGAGTATCCCTGTTGCTACTCCGAATGTGACCAGCTGATTGAACAAAGATGCGGATCCAAACCGTGCACCACCTTGTTCATACACCAGCAATATCTCAGCCCATCCAAAAACCTTGCCAACCCAACCACTCCCTGGCCTGCTTCACGCCCTGTCTGACGCACCATTGCCAGTTTTGTGAAGTTGAAGATGATACAAATAAGGATTGGGTTTGAGATTTTGATCTCATAAATATCCTTTGTGAAGTATGAAGAGTTGATTGTGACACTTTCAAGTCCAGGATGAAAACATCTTCAGTAAAATGCATGAATGTCTACATGTGTACAGTGTATTACACCAAAGCCATTGTGAGATGAATTTCATGTTGCAAAATTACCTATTTAAATAAGAGCTTATTGATCAGAATCAACTTTGAATTGCCTTGTTTTGTCTTGGGATTTGCTTTGATATCGGATGAGACATTGCATTAGCTAAATGGCCTCCTGCACCCAATTCAAATACCTGTTGACAGTCAAGGTAAACATGTGAAGAATGGCCACTTGGAACGTCCCAGTACTAAAGGGATTACTTTTTGTTCAAAGTACTTCCTACGGAAATAGAAATAAAATTCTCCAATAATTTACTTGAATCACAAAATTCTCACTTGAAAATGCAGAGCTATTCTTGCACCATGCTACTCCATAGGAATCAAGGGAATCTAAAGGTCCAGAAAAGACCAATTCTGTCCTGATCAGCCATTCCCAAAGTATATACATAGGTAATATACATGCACAATCTCGCATATACCCCAATTGATTTTTACACTTAAATAGCCATCCAAATCTATTGAATATGCTGATGCAGTCGGCCTGGATCATATGCCTACATAGTCTATTCCAAACAGCTGTCTTCAGAAAATTAGTTTGGATGAAGATAAACCCTTCGGGCCGGAAAGTAGGTGTCTAAGAGCATATCTAAACTGGAATTTATCACTTTAGGCAAATAATTATTTTATACTCTTCTATTTCAAGAGGAAGCATTTTAAACAAAATAACTCAATTCAGATTTAAGAAGCCACTGAACAAGTCCATTTATTTTCTGGGTTTTGTGATTTCCATTCATGTATTAGTAGGCATTGACCCATATAAGCTGAAGAAGTCTCAGTTCCTTTTCTGTGAACAGTCTCCTGAGCGTGGTACTGATCATTCTGCAAAATAAATTTGTCATGATTCACATGTTTGTTTGCAGCATGTACTTCTCTTTTTTAAGACAAGACTCAACAAAATTTCTTAAGTGTTTAAAAGGGAAGGTTTGTGCATTTCAATTTGACAGTTAAAACAGAAAAAAGTACTCCCAATGAAAGCCTTTTTAGTGGCTTTAGACTCAAGAATTGACTGATACTATATACTCCTTATAAATATTCCTTTATAACAACTTTCCAAAGGGAATTAGATAGGTACTTGAAAAGGAAAAAATTGCAAGGATATGGGGAAAGAGCAGGGAGTAGGATTGATTGGGTAGATCTCCAAAGAGCTGGCACAGGCACGATGGGCCGAATGGCCTCCTTCTGTGCTGTAATATTCTATGGTTCTATGATAAGAAAAAGTTTTTAAAATTTTTGCCATAAGTGAGCAGTGTCCTAAAGACAGTAATCATATGTGCTACATGTTTCAAGCCCTGGGACATAAATGTGAGAATCTGCAGCTTCAAGCACTGTGTTTTTCATCTCAAAGGAATGGAAGAGAAGGTGGTGGTTCATAGAATCATAGAAATGTACAACACAGAACGAGGCCAATCAGCCCACCGAGTCTGCACCAGCTCTCAGAGCGAGGTGTTAATTGAATCCCAATGGCCTGCCTTATTTCCATACCTATTCAGGAATGGTGTGAAATCTTTCCATGTTCAAGCTTCTGAATTACTGTACGTGACAACCTAGATCGGAGGTTGGCTACCCAGTATGTATTTTTGTGGTGTATTTATAGGCAAATGCTTCAGGATATATCTACTTAGAGCTTTACTCAGGAAGTATTTTAAATGTGAGCTATGTTCATCTGGAAAACTATATGATTATAAATATATCAGAGAAATTATTGTCTAATTACTAGTCCCTGTGTACTCTTATCTATTTTATGTACTAAACCTGAGAGAGCCACTTTTTGCAGAATCATCTCTTCAAAGCTTGATTTATAATACAATTAAAATTAGTGGGAAGTGCCTTAATTCATCATGTATTGGAGTTAGACTTCTATGGTAGTACTAATGATGAGATTCTACATAAAACTTGTTCCACCTTGTTCTTGCCCATAGTTTTAACATGTATAACACAATGAAAAAGGACAAAGGTAATTAATGAACCTCCTTTATAACTTGTCATAATGTGGGAATTCCAATAATTATGGTCAGATGTTTGTACAAGTCAATAAAGTTTGTTGATTTGTGGGAAGTCTACTTCCTCCAAGATTGAGCTGTGTGAAACAGACTATCTGGGGAAGTGATGAAGGCAGACTGCTATTTAAGGAAGGATTAGTTAAATATTGTGAAGGGAGTTAATCGATTGATAGAAATTACTAAAAGGTGCCAATCCAGTAACGTCTAACTTTAATACTGCCAGGAAAATATCTATAAAGATGAATTGCCTATTTTATTTTTATACTAACTGTTTAGTTTTTTTTTACAGCCACATTGCGTGTTACTTGCCTCAAAGGAGAATTCAGCCCCTGTGAAACTTGGTGGGTTTGGAGTGGCCATTCAGCTTGGAGAGTCTGGTCTTGTTGCTGGAGGTAGGAATACTTTTCTTATTGATTGAATTAATTTTTATAGTTGGTGACACGGTATCAGGTGGACATGGTTCTCTACATAGTTAATTTCTGATGGCACGAAGATTAAGTGATGAGTGTGACCATCCCTTAAAGAAGATATGAAGAACATTTGAATATAAATCATCTCATGTGAATTAGGAAGGTATTCCAGAGGCCTGGAAGCAAAAACAAACAACAACTTGCACTTATATAGCGCCCTCCACGCAGGGTAGCAGTTCAAAGCACGTAACAGTGCTTATCTCTGAGGTGAATGGGGGGAGGTGGCCATAAGCAGATCTACCTGTACTTTCAGGTGGTACATGAATTGCGTGAAGAGAAAGTGAGGAAGAGATTCTTCATATGGAATAGTTATTGAGAGCAGATAAGAAAAAGCAATCATTTAAAATCATTTATTTCTATTTTGTCAACCAGTGCAATATCTACTGCTCCTATTAGCTGATGCCGTCCAGTCCACATGAATCAATCATTGCTGTGCTTGTAATTTGCACAATGATGGAGTATCAATATTCATTACATTTGGAATACCCTTAGTGACCTCTTGAGATATTGAATAAGTTGATAAGCATGATAAATTAGCATCAGTTAGAAGGAAGAAACTGAAGTGGGAAAGGATGTGCACTCTCAACGAGACAGAAAAAAACTCCATTGGAATTTCCTAGCAAGGGACATATAATGGTGATCTCTGAAAAACTTAAGTTAAAGAATGATGACTGTTCTGGATATGTGAGCAATCAACTTTAACATGCTGATCCTGTTACTGAGGTTATTAGTATCTGTATGCTACAGAATCACAGATCCACTCTTATACTTCACTGACATTTGACAGTAAATTGTTCTTATAAACAAAACATAGCAATTAGATAACTGGGATGGAATACAAAGCAGTAATCTCATCAAATGAGATAATAAAAATGTAAGAAATTAAGATCAAGCATTATAAGTCATCTGAGCACCAAAATATGATTACAAAATTGAATCCTACTTTAAGCGATTATTTTTTCACCAGCTGGTCTGGCAAACCCCCACCACAAATATGTTCATTTTCACTGATATCAGTTTTGGACCCAAGCTCGGGTCCGAAACTCTGACTGTCCAGCGCCTTGGGACGTCCCCCCGACGTAAAAGACTCTATACAAATGTAATTTTATTGTTGTTGTTGTTGATGATATGTAATGAGGCCTACTCTGACATGTGGCTTCCATGATAATCATCGTAAATATTGTAATACAAGTTCAGCATGTGATGATCAACAATTGAATACCAGGAAATAATGTGATCTGAAGTATTGTGTAGAAGATCTGGATAACTGGCATGGAATACCAAGTCAACTATCCAATTGCTCTAATATGTCATTTGATATGACAGTTTTCTAAAACAACAACAACAACAAGATTCCATTTATAGAGCGCCTTTCACGTCGGGAGGACGTCCCAAGGCGCTGGACAGTTGGGTCAGGACCCGAGCAGGGGGGAAATGGTCAGGGTGAGGGGAGGGAAGGGAGGGAGCGAGGAGGGGGTAGAGAGTCGAGAGGGGAGCTGAAGGCACGGTCAAAGAGAAAGGTCTTGAGACCGGCCTTGAAGGAGGTAAGGGAGGAAGCAAGACGAAGGCACTGGGGAATAGAGTTCCAGAGCCTAGGGGCTGAGAGGCTGAAGGCCCGGCCACCAATGGTAGGGCGGGTGGGGCGGGGGGTGTGGAGCAGACCGGAGCCAGAGGAACGGAGGGTACGGGCAAATAGGTAGGGGGATAGTAGGTCGGAGAGGTAGGAGGGAGCAAGGCCGTGAATGGCCTTGTAGGTGAGGATGAGGATCTTGAATTCGATCCTCTGGGGGATGGGGAACCAGTGGAGGCGAGCGAGGGTGGGAGTGATGTGGTCGCGAAGCCTGGTGCGGGACAGTACATGAGCTGCAGAGTTCTGAATGACCTGCAGCTTGTGGAGGGAGGTGCCGGGAAGGCCGGTGAGGAGAGAGTTGATTATGTCTGTGATAAGTGGGGCAAGGAGGTGGAGCTGGGAGATAAGGAGGGAGTGGGGATGGGGTCAAGGGAGCAGGTGGTGGGTTTCAGGGACAGGATGAGTTTGGTGACAGAGGGTGGGGAAACGGGTTCGAACGTGTGTAGGGGAGGATGGGTCGGAGTCGGAGTGTGGGAGGGAAGGGGTGGGGGGTGGGTGGAAGTTGGAAGGGGAGTGACCGCGGAGCGGATTCCCTTGATTCTGGATTCAAGGAAATCCAGCATCTCCTCAGAGTGAAGGTTGGAGGAGATGACCTGCGCGGGGTGGCGGGGGGGACGGAGGAGTCGGGGTTATTCTTCGCTTCCAGGATTATCCTGGAGTAGAAGGACGACTTGGCCGAGGCTAGAGTGGAGCGGTAGATTTTGAGGCGGTCCAGCCAGATTTGTCGGTGGACCGTTAGGCAGGTGCGTTCAGCGGCCCACACCTGGCTCTTTAGTGAGCGCAGGTGGGTGGTGAACCAGGGGGAGGAGCGAGAGTAGGAGACAGTACGGGAGGTGATGGGGGCAAGAGTGTCGAGTGGTGTTGTGGAGGAGGGTGAGAGCAGAAGAGTCAGTGAGGGTTGAAGGCCAGAGAGAGAGGAGTTCAGAGGACTCCAAGGTAGCGGTTAGGGATTGTGGGGGTAACTTCTTCCAGGGGCAGTAGAAGATGGTGGTGGGTCTGGTGGAGGTGGGGAGGGGGGTGGAGGTGGTGAAGGAGATGAAGTGGTGATCAGAGACAGCCTTGTCGGTAATGGTGTGACATCCGAGACACTGAGGCCCCGGGTGATCACCAAATCAAGTGGGTGGCCGTGACTGTGAGTGGCGGAGTTGATGTGGAGAGAGAGGTTGAGCAAGGAGAGCAGGGAGGAGAAGTCCGAGGAGATGGAGCAGGAGGGGGTGAAGTGCAGGTTGAAGTCGCCCAGGATGATGAGGCGATCAGAGGCAGAGAGATGTAAGTAGGGTAGAAATATCGGAGGTGAAGGTGGGAGAGGTTTTAGGGGGCCGGTAGAGGAGGAGGATTTTGAGTGAGAGGAAGGAGGGGTGGGAGAGGGTGAGGTGCTCAAAAGAGGGGAAAGAGCCAGAGGAGTAGGGGGATAGGGCAAGTGGTGTCCTTGAGATAAGGGTTACACCACCGCCACTGCGTTTGGGGCGAGGGATGTGGTGGGAGGTGTAGCTGGGTGGTGTGGCCTCCGTGAGGGGGAAGGTGTTGCCTGGGGTGAGCCAGGTTTCCGTTAAGGCCATGATGTGGAGTCCTGTAGCTCAGTGGTTAGAGCACTCGCTTTGCAAGCGAGAGACCTGAGTTCAATTCCAGGCAGGGCGAAACCTTGGGCAAGTTTCCTTACTCCACACGCCTAATAATAATCCCTCCAAAACCAAAAACAATAAATAAATTGGTCATTTTCAATCTACGACTGTTTGTGGGACATTGCTGTGCGCAATTGGCTGCCGCGTTCGCCCACAAATATACAGTCAATTCACTTTACAGTGTGTTCTGTGAAGCGCTTTGGGACGTCCTCTCGACGTGAAAAGCGCTATATCAAATGCAAGGATTATTATTATTATGATGACCAGGGCCTTGTTACAGAGGGAGCGGACGTTTTGTCATCCAATGTGGAGTGGCGGTTGATAGAAGGGTGTGTGGGGAGGGTGGGGGGAATGGGGATGAGAAAAGAGAGGTTGGCTCCCCAGGTCTTTGTCCGGGGTGGCTGGCGAGTGTGGTGGGGAATGGGTCAGTCGGTGTGGCTGCTGCTGGATAGCGAACTTTTAGAGTTAACCGTTAACTATTTTTTTACATGTCCCTTTAGGTCGTGTAGGAACACCACATTTTATGGCACCAGAAGTTGTCAAAAGAGAGCCATATGGAAAACCAGTAGATGTTTGGGGTTGCGGAGTGATACTTTTTATTCTGCTCAGTGGTTGTTTGCCATTTTACGGAACAAAGGAAAGATTATTTGATGGCATCATTAAAGGGAAATACAAGGTAATTCGTGTTTATTCTTCTAATAGCAATATAGCCTCTTTAAGTTACTCCCAACAAAATATAATAATTATAATCCTTGCATTTAATGTAGTGCCTTATCACATCTTCAAGACGTCCCAAAGCACTTTGCAGAATATACTGTAAAGTGAATTGACTGTATATTTTGTGGCTGAAACGTGGCTGCCAATTGCGCACAGCAAGGTCCCACAAACAGTCATGGATTGAAGTGACCATATTATTATTATTTTTTTGAAGGAATTATTACCACAAATGCAGTGTCATAATTTAATTTCTTTTTTAGAAAATTATTAGTAGAATTTAATATTTCTAATTATTTCCCATTACTGGCTGAAATATTTTTTCTTTTGCTTAGCTTTTGTACAGTTTTTAAATATACTAAGTTATCAATTATTAGATTACAGTTTTCTTGTCTTCTGATATGTTGTGATACAGTTTTGAGAATGACATTTGTGTCGTCTCAGTAAGTTGGCAGGAAAGTTTAATTATTACAGTTGGTGATCAAGAGCAGCTCCAATAATAGCTAAGTGTGTCTTAAAACTCTTTTTATGTAGATGAATCCGAGGCAATGGATCCATATCTCAGAGAGTGCCAAAGACCTGGTGCGTCGTATGCTTATGTTGGACCCTGCAGAAAGGATAACTGTTTATGAGGCACTCAACCACCCTTGGCTGAAGGTAAAATAAGTTGTTTAAAAGTATTAGAATGCAAAATGTATGCTGTAATTTAAGTAAAACTTCTTCTGCACAATAGCAGATTGAACATCCCAGCTCACATGAATATATTAGAAAGCATAACTTGTCCTATCAAACTGGTGAGTGCGGTGGATGAATTGTTTGCAAATGGACCAGAGATGAAGGGTATGTTTTATGCTCTAGCTTCGGCACTTGGTTTTGACAGTAAGGTGATAAATAACATAATCCTCTGATGCAATATTTTACCACAATTCTGAGAATTGTGAATATGCGATTTGAATTCTTGTACTGGAGAAAAGGGAAGAAGTTTGAAACAATCAGATCAAAAGCTTACTGAATCTTTGGACATAATAATGCCTTTTATCTTTGGTTCAGAGAAACGCGGCAGATAAGAGAGTTGAGAGAAGAGTGCAAGATAGTGTGCATGTTTTTCACAAACCCTGTGGTTTCCTGAAATAAATTTTACTAACGCAAATGTAGAACGTTTTGTTACAATTTCTTGTTTATTTACCAATTTACGTAAAGAATTCTATTTTGCCAAATGAATTTTAGGAGCGCGATCGCTATGCATACAAGATTCATCTCCCGGAAACTGTGGAACAGCTGAGAAAATTTAATGCAAGAAGGAAGTTGAAGGTAACACTACCATTGCATATTTTTAATTATTTGTTCTAACTTTATTTAAGCTATAATTATTTGTTCAACATTCACAGTGGGGAGAATACTTCCATCCAGTTTGGGATGCGCCAAAGCAAATTGAAATCTCATTCTATCCCTGCAGGAGCTTCTTGGGCCAAATTGGAGGTTGTTTTTTTCGCAGCCATTTGGAAAGCAGCATGTAATTTTACAAAATGTTATTGCCTTTATCTGACATCCTAAGCTTCAGTTTGACCTAAACATATAGATCTCTGAACCCCACCAGCAGAATAGTGCAGTGCTTTAATATGTTCCTATTAAAGTAATTGAATGAATTGAATGAAGTAATGAATGCAGTAATTGAATGAATAAATGAAGATATACCTTCCTTTATTATGGATTCATTTTCTTATTGAACTCCAGCTTTAGTGTTCAGTTCTCCCTCCCTACAGCCTTCTGAACTGTTAGGATTGGATCTTTGATTCAAATTTGAAGTTGAGTTAAAGAGTGAGGCAGCATTTGTATAATGAGGCATTGAAGGGGAAGACCCCTGAAGCAGAGGAGGTTTAAATGTTTCCCCAAGTAAACTCCTCATGCATGGCCTTATGAGTAAAGGTACTGCCTGGTGCAAGATTAAGCTCACAAACACTGCTGTGTTAGCTTTTCTGACCCAGGATAGGACCCTACAATTGGCCACAGTGCCCCCGGACTACAAACTGGAAGGTACCCGTGGAACTCTACCCAAGTAAACAATAGAAAATAAGTGCCTTCAGTCAAGGTGGATGGAAAATATTTGCAAAATAAGCAATTGGAGTCCTGTAGGTCAGTGGTTAGAGCACTCACCTCGCAAACGAGAAACCTAGGTTCGATTCCCGGCAGGGCGAAATGTTAGGCAAGTTGCCTTACTCCACACACCTCTGTTTACTTAGCAGTAACTAGGAACCCGGTTGTTAGTTGATTGGCGGATAGATTTTCCGGGGGTAATAATTATTTTTTAAAAAATTTGGTCATTTCAATCCACAACTATTTGTGCGACACTGCTATTCGCAGATGGCTGCCGCGTTTCGCCCACAAAATATACAGTCAATTCACTTTACAGTATATTCTGTGAAGCGCTTTGAGATGTCTCAAAAAGACGTAATAAGGCGCTATATCAAATGCAAGGATTATTTATTATAATTTGCAAAGCATGTTGGGTATACAGTACTATATGTGCATATGACCTTCAATCAAAAATGATCTGAACAACATATTTTATTCTGCAAAAAATGAAATGCTCTGCATTAGAGAATTGCTAGCCACCATTGATCTATGATAGCTATCTGTACACGGAAGGCTATTTAGATGACATAAAAGCGACCTATTTTTCTTAAGTAGGATGTGGTCACCCTTGCAAGTCAAGATCTTTGTCGTAATTAGCTGCTAGCCAAGATGTGTTCTGTTTCCATCGCAAATAGAGTATAAGTATTTTTCAACAGAAGTTAGAATCCCAAGTGTGGAGGAATGAAAATATTCTTAATTTCTAGATTGCACATATTAGCTTGGACATTGGAAAGAATTTAGCCACAAAGCCCCTTCTTTCAGAGGGCTTCAATAATCTACTCTTATCATTATAAATCGTAAATAATATTTTCATGTGATATAGCATCTTTACGTTGGGAGGGCATCTCAAAGCATTTTGTAGGATTCACTGTAAAGTTTTGTGACTATTTTATAAGTGAACACAGCAGCCAATTTGCATGTAGCAATGTTTCACCAACAGTCATGAAGGGAATGACCAATTTTATTTGGGGGATTGTTGTCTAGGACACTGGGAAAAACTTCCATTTTCAAATATGGGATCTTTTCATCTGTTCATCTGAACAGGTTTAACATCAGTTTAACATCTCATCTGAAGGATAGAACCTTTAACAATGTAGCAATCCCTAGGTGCTGTATTGGAGCATCAGTGTAGAATGAGAATAAAGTCCATATGCAGAGCTCAAACCACATCCTTCTGTCTCCAACCGAGCCAGACTGACCTCTTCTTTCATATAATCTATTCATTTGAATGCCTGAAAAAATGCTCTGCAGTGTTTCGCACCCCAGATTTACAGAACACTCATCTAGCCTTACATTCACCTTCTTTGGCACTGCTCTTCTATGATCTCAGGCCATCTTGTATTTTAATTATCTCTGTATTTAAGTGTATGAACTGTCAATCCTATTCAACTATTCTTATTAAAGCTGCTAATCTACAGTCAACTTATTTACCTGGGAGTATTACTATGCAAACAAATTTTCTACAGGGTTGGTTAAAATATTTCTATGAACTTTGTTTAATGCTTTTTACAATCTGTTTTTATATTGCTCCTTTTACTTTCTTTAATACTTAAATTAGCCTCAACTGATTTTTCTGCATAAGAACAGGCATGTTCCATTCAGCCTACTGGGCCTTTTACATCATTTTATTAGGTCATGGCAGATCCTTTAATCCTATTTCACACCTTTTCCTAAAAATGATACTTCCTTGTATCTACTTTATCTCCCTTTTGAACATTCATTCTGCATGGCATGACAGTGCATTCCATATTTTCACCTTTTCTGTGAAGAAATATTCTTTAATCTCATTTCTAACCGTTTTAGCTTTCATTTTAAAATTAGGTCCCACATGACTCTCAATCCTCACTTTTATTTTTTTTCCTTCATCTTTTAAAATATTTTTGTTTGGCCGCTAGTTTAGTTTTCACTTATTTTGTTCTGTGATTTTGCAATGACCTCCACCTACATCACATTGCCCATTTCTGACCATACCTCACACCCAATGCAGCCAAAACCCTCGTCCATGCTTTCGTCAACTCCTGTCTCGACTGTTCCAATGCTCTACCTTTCCATCCTGCTTACTTATTATTCACCCATTTTGATATAGCACCTTATCACGTTCGTGAGACATCTCAAAGTGCTTCACAGGATATATTGTGGGGGAGACACGGTGTGGCATGTACTCTCCCTGGCAATGCTGCATGTAGGTAATGAGTCTCAAAAATAGAAAAAAATGTTCTAAGCACTTGACAACCCTCAAAATGAGAACAAAAAAATATCCCAAACAACAACTTACATTTATATATAGCACCCTTCACGCAGGATAATGTCCCGGAGGACTGTGCAGTGGTGGGGTTGGACATTGAACAACAACAACAAAATTACATTTGTATTTTGAACAAGGGGAAAGGGAAGGTGACCATGGGAGAGGGTAAAGAGGTAGGTCTTAAGATATAATTTAAGGTAAAGCGGGGATGAGGCAAAGGGATTAAGGCAGGGAGTTCCAGAGGTTAAGCATATAGTGGCTAAAAAAAACGTAATTGCCAAAGACAAGACTTTTGCAATACTCTAAATTGTTTATGGATCAACAACAACAAATTACATTTGTATAGCATCTTTCATGTCAGGAGGACCTCCCAAGGCATTGGATAATCAGGGATTTGGACCCGAGGAGGGGGTTGAGATCAGGAGGAGTGGAGTGTAGGGGGTAAGAGAGTGAACGAAGGCGCAGTCGAAGGAGATCAAAAGGAGATGTGTGGTTTCCTGCTGTGCAGCAATGGGTGATTGAATACTGTAATGAGTATGTGTAGTTTTAAATTAAAGCTCCAAAGCAGGAAATGTTTCTATTTGAACTAGTCCCAATTGAGAAAGATAAACATGCAAAGCATCATTGCCTTGAAGCATCACCACCTAATGGTGGTGAACATTTGGGTGAAATAGTTAGTGAAATTTTGAATCTTCATATGCTCAAATGCTCCATATGACAGGATACTATCCATCATTCTTCTGGGGTGGTGCGGAGATGCCACATCACAAAGGAAGTTCCTCCACCCCTTTAAGAATTAGATAAGGAGTAAATTGCTCAGACAGGGCACCCTGCACCCATTTAATCTTTGGCCTGTAATTTTGTTTACTTTAATTATAGCCAGTGATGTTGCTGTGTAGGCATTAAATTCAGCCTGGCTGGATAAACCTACATCTGGGATATTACATAATCTCTTCAATCTGGATGGCTTAAGCATAAAAAAAGCCATGATGTGGGGAGAAAAAAGAGCAAATTTTGTTTTTATTCAGACATCTATAATATGACTGGGTATCAAAACATTAGATAAATTGTAAAAGGGTTTTGAAAAAAAATTGTGTTTTAAAAAAAATCAATGAGACAGATCCATCAGTGGCAGATGAGCAAAGTGAACTGAAACATTTTGTAGATATGAATATTTAATCAACTTTGCATTGCGTCAGCTAGGCTCAGAGGTAGCTCTCTCACCTCTCAGTCAGAAGGGAGCACAATGACACAGACACAATGGGCCAAATTATCTCCTTCTGTGCTGTATAATTCTATGATTCTATGAATGTTTTGGGTTCAAGCCCCACATAAGGACTTGGAATCACATAGTTCAAGTCACGATACGACTTCAACTCGCATGGTCTAAGTTGACAATCTACTGCAGTGCTGCATTGCCTTCAGATGAGATGTTAAACCAAGGTCTGGTCTGACTGTTCAGGTGGACTTTAAAGATCTCACGGCACTATTCGAAAAGAGAAGGAAGTTTCTCCCGGTGTTCAAGCCAACAATCCCTCTAATAAAATTGGTCATTCGTGCCGGCTCTTTGAAAAGAGCTATCCAATTCAATCCCACTTCTCCGCTCTCTCCCCATAGCCCTGCAAACTTGTCCTCCCCAAATAATTATCTACTTCTCTCTTAATATTTGTTATTGAATTGGCTTCCACCACTCTTTCAGGCAATGCAGTCCAGATCTGAACACCTCTCTGTGTGAAAAAATGTCTCCTCACCTCCCCTCTGTCTCTTTTAACAACTATTTTAAATCAGTGTCCTCGGGTTTCCGACCCACCTGCCATGGGAAACAGTTTACCCTTGTTCACCCTGTCGAATCCCCTCATAATTTTGAAAACTTCTATTAAGTCTCCTCTTAATCTTCTTTGCTTCGAGGAGAATAATACTAGTTTCTCTAGCCTCTCCTGATAACTGAAGTCATGGATGTTTATGGGACATTTCCGTGTGCAACTGTGCTGACACGTTGCCTACAAGAACAACATTAAATTGCATTTACGTAGCACCTTTCCCGTCAAGATGACATCCCAAGGTGCTGAAAATATAAATACACAGTCACTCCATTTCACACAGCTTTTAGACGTCCTTCCGACGTGATAAGGCGCTATACCAAATGCAAAGAGTATTATTGTCACTGTCATCACTTGGCAAAATGTTATTATTTTTATATTATTCATTTGCCAAATGGATGTAGTGCTTTGACCACCAGAGTTAGTTATATGATACCTAGTGCCTGCAGAGGTTTATGAAACTGAGCATAAACATTTCACATTAAGAGATGAAAATTGTAATTATGTTCTATGAAGGTATACATTGAAATTAGCAACCTTATTATAACCCCATCGACCCCTTATGCAATTTCTTGCATCTCTTGGCTTTGGACTGCTGATTAGTGGGATGCCAATTTAACAAAACAATTAGGCCGTTGTGCTGTTAACTGACTGCCAATGCCAGGATGGTAAACTGGGACTCCATTGAATATGGGTAGCTTCTCATTGTGGTGCAACCATATGTTTATGAGATTCGTTTGGCTGAAAGGCCCTTTTGGCATCTAATCTCATTTCTCCAGAATATCCATCCTGACATCCTCCCATCACAGCATTAAGCTGCTTTTCAATGAGTCCAGTACCTTGGCCTCAGCCACCCTTCCTGGCAAACCATTCTGGTTGATAATTACCTATATTAGTAAGCAACAATATTAATACATTGTTGCAAATTAATTAACCTTGCCTATATTAATTAGCGACAATAATAATAATGATAATCCTTGCATTTGACTTTTCACATCGGGAGGATGTCCCAAAGCGCTTCACAGAAAACACTGTAAAGTGAATTGACTGTATATTTGTGGGCGAACAGCAATGTCCCACAAACAGTCGTAGATTGAAAAATGACCAATTTTATTATTGTTTTTGGTTTGGAGGGATTATTATTAGGCGTGTGGAGTAAGGAAACTTATCCAAGGTTTCGCCCTACCTGGAATTGAACTCAGGTCTCTCGCTTGCAAAGCTCTAACCACTGAGCTACAGGACTCCACATTGCAATAATACATTGCAATTTATATTACTACATAACAAAAATATCATGCAAATGCTACATTGATTTTGAACTGTCCATCATTCTCTGTTGAATGAACCTAAAATAGTGTGCTGGTACAGCAGAATTTGAAACAAATATAATAAAAACAAAAAAAGATAAATTATGATTAACCTGACAGTTAAGAAATAAATTAGGGTCTACCAATCTCAAACCAAAATGAAAATCTGGTGTAAGGATTCTTTTCTTGCAGCGTAACTTTTTAACTTTTGATTCATTATCAGTCTGTTTTCAATATTGAAATAGTTAGCAATATTTCCACATGTCACCGTTTTTCACCAATTATGAAATGATTGTTTTTCTTTCCTGTCAGAATCAATAAGATGTGCTACTATGTAATAAAGGGTATTCCGCCAACTAGAAAAAACATGAAATGTCTTTCAAGCTAATCTGGAAATATTGGAATTCATAAATATCCTTGCTGGGTTGGAATTCCTTTCAGGACTTGCTGTGCAAAATCAGCATTGAAATCTTGCTCAATGAACATGACACCACATGGATGATGGCTTTTTGTCTATGCAAAGAGGAAAAGAAACTAATCGGTCTCATGACAGGATATATTACAACACTGTCCTGTCCAAAATTGCACCCAGGCTAACTTCATAAGACTGAAGAAATTATTTTAGTTACCAAAATAATTCCATCACCCTGGTTCCAAAGTTTTTTTTGTGTCCTCATACTTCTACAGAACTACTCTACATTTTGCATATCCAATGTATTTTAAAAATAGCAATATGACCTTTACAAAATTGTACATGCATACATACTAGGCAAACCACATGATATTCATTTCAATAATTGTGTCTTCCATAGCAGCAGAGACTTAGGCATCTCAAAGAATTAAGTTCCATAAGCTGATATCATGCTTGGGCATTCTTCCTCCATTGATCTGGACAGTGCTTTTCAATCAGGATTGCTTACTATTCAGACCAATGCTGTCAAAGTATTGGACAATGCAACAGTGCCAGAACATAATTTGTATTGCAGTATTATTCATCGCAAAGCAGCAGTAATCTGTAATGCTTCTTTATATTGCAGTTCTGTCTCTTTCAGCACAACTTTATTGCCTAATAGCTGGTAACAGGAAAGACAGTGGTTAGAATTTGACTGGGCTTAAGGAATGTTTGGTAATAATTGTTTACTACCCACAATGAAGAATGTGAAGGAGGTAAAAACTGCCGAAAAATACCCTTTTCACTAGAAATTAATTTCCTGCTCAGTAGAAAAAGAGCAAATAACTTCCTGAATGCTTGAATACAACCCAATGCTCTCTGAATCTGCCATGCATTTTGCATTTAGTTGAGTGCTCTTTGCTCTGAGCTCCAAGTTGCTACCCTTCATATGGGCAGCAACTTGGAGCACAGTATATAGCAGTACATACTGTATTAAAGCATACAATGAACAATACAATTTAGCAGAACATATTGTAACATGCTGCAAACTATGTAATTTTTCAGTACAGTAATATAGCAGTATAAACACCACAGTGCAATTTAGCGGTATATATTACAGCATACAGCAAACACATTGAAATTTAGCAGTATTTATTGAAACATGCTGCAAATCAGGCAAAGAAACAATATATAAAATCACTTGCAATATATACAAAGTAATTTAGGAAGGCCTCCTCTTTTTCAACTAAGCTTCTAAAAGCAGGACATTGGCAATAATTTGTCTACCACCTGAATAAAGATCAACATTTTAAAAACACCTTTTTGGAATTAAATTAATTTCTGATCATGAAAATATTTTACTGTATGTAGCTTATATTTCTCATTATAATGCTGGGTTCACTGAGTATAATTATGAGCAAGATCTTTGGCAACAACAAGTGGTTGGAAGAAACTATTCTTCCAGGAATTTCTATGAGACAAATGGCTCTTTCACAACATTGAAAAATATTCACAAAACTCTGAAATCTGTTTGTAAATGCCCTGATGCAATGTGGAGTACAACACATTCTGAGAGCAAAGTAGTTTTCAACAAATCCTTGAATCATCCTTGCTGGTCTTTGAACCTTTTCTAATGTCATTTAGAAGTTAAATCAAGGAGATTACTCAGCAAATTTGACATAGAAACAAATTGTATATATGAAGGGAAAAAAAACAAGAAAAATACTGAAATACAGCATCAATGAAAAATGCAATACGGCATTCTAAATGCAAGGCTTCCCCCCTTCTCAATAAGCGTATAATGTTTTTTCTATTAAATGCATTCATAGCCTGGCATTGAGTAGGGTTTGACTGTTTGCAGAACACCTTAAACTCTGCCCCTCATTGATTCAGCAAAAAGAAATTATATTTTGGAACAAATGTCACTATCTAGCAGAGCTTTAAGAGGAGAAACAAGAGGAGGCTCAACTAAGCAGAAAGATATTTTGGGCCATAGAAATACAATTAAAAATAAGTATCCAGCTGAACCCGCCTGGAAACAAGGTACAAGGCATTACGAGCAGACAAGGCCACCTTACACAAAATGGAGTGCACAAAGCTTAAGAATATTATGAAAGAATGAGACAAAGAAAAATGGGGCAAATCAAGTTTGACATAGAAACAAACGGTACATATAGAAAAATACATTTGTTTTCAATATTGTTTCATCCCTGATAATTGCCAAGGACGGGATTATTCAAACTGTCAGCCCTGGTTAAGATACAATTTTTTTTGTTTAATTTACTTCAGGGGGCCGTATTAGCAGCTGTGTCCAGCCACAAATTCAACTCTTTCTATGGGGACCCTCCTGAGGATCTGCCCGATTTCTCTGAAGACCCCACTTCCTCAGGTAAATTTATCTCTTGGTAAAGGAATTTGAAACTAAACGTTATTTAAGTGAAACAACATCTAGCTTGTAAAATCTATTCCAATATTTGATGTTAAATCTGCAGGATGCTTTTTTTCTTCTAGCTTTTAGATGCATTTAATTTAGAAACTTATAATGTATTAACAGGAATTACACCCCACGCTGATTTCAATACCAATATCCATAAAGCCAGATTGTACATTTGACTGCCAATTAGTGGGATGGGGGCTGTTATAATGAACCAACACCTCAAGAGTAAGTTCCTACTGCCAGTAATCTCTCAGGTAGTCAAATGTATGGCCAGTCCACGTGTCTGATGGGTGTCTGACATGTGCGGAAACCTATCACCATGCTTAGAATATTCAAACCAAACTGAGTTCCATGCATCCCACTTATATATGGAAATTCCAGTGATGTTTATTGAAATAGAATGCGCACACTCTCCCTGGAGGGACGCATCCTGTTTACTTAATTCCGGAAAGTATTTAGGCAGAGGTTGGCAAGAGCCAAGACTTGGGGACTCCAGACTGCATTGGGGTACTGCTGAAGTCTAACCAGCTAAAAATGCATAGATTGCTATTGAGAGCACTAACTAGCAAGCTTTCCTACTGCTTTTCCAGCTAGGACCACCCTACCCGTTAGAGCTTTGGCTTGCAGGGTTAATAGCAACTAAATGGGAAGAGTCCCTGCCCTTTCAAGTCCTGCCAATAAGGCAGCATGGTCATCAGCAGTGCATTGGAATACCATGGACCGTCTGGCTCAGGAACTGGACTTCCAAGACCGCCACAGAGGACCGGCTCAATTCCAACATTCCATTCCCAAATGTGTCACCTTGGAGCCAGCTCAGCTCCAAGGAGACCTTGCTTATCTCCCCCCCCACCCAGGAGGAGAGTCATTGGTTGGTTATTTGACAATTAGTCGATTGAACCCACACTACGTGGATGGTAGTTACCAGCACTGCAAGCTTTCTGGTGGGAAACATAGTTCAGCATGAAACGCATGAGAGTATTGCCATCATCTTCCTGTCCACAGCTCGGGCACACGTTCCTTCCCATTGAGCGACGGTTCCACCAGTTGGAGGTGTGGAGCTTAAGTAGCAGCTACGTATCTAGCATTCAGACAATTCCTTTTCAATATATTATGAATTTCTTGCATGTTTGGCTCCACCATAATTAGAGATAACATCTCATCACAAGTTTTCTGAAATAGGTATAAACAAGTTCGAAAAAGACAAGTTTAGAACTGTTTGCTCTTCTCCGAATAAACTGGGTGCAGAATCTGAGGAACCATATTATAATATTGCCTGCACAATTCAGCATCTTATATCTATGGATCCTAATTTGAGGGGAATTGCAGTAGAAACAGAAGATTAGTTCTTAAAGGAATTTATACAATAAATGTTTGTAGTGATTTTTAGAAATATGGTTATTTGGTTTTATAGCTTTAAATTGTCTATATATTATAAAATTAGAAGTTCTTATATATTTCAAAACTTTACCTTGTAATAAAAAAAATATTTTATATGCTGGTTCACATCGCTTTGCTTATTATCAGTGTTCAAGATGATTTTCTGTCTGGATTTCCAAGCACCTCTGCAGATCATAAATGGATGCAACTAAAAATCTTGATGGAATTGTAACCCTTTTATCTCATGTACTTGTTTTGTTATCATTTTTGTGGTATTCAACCCCACTCCAGTTTGACCACACTGGTCAGGGTGATTGCTGAGTTTAATTTTGATAACTGCAGCTATTGATAGTCCAGATACAAATGCATATAGTGACAAAAATTTCCTATCCAGAGTTACTGAACTGTGAAAGTAAGGCTATGTTTATGAGCCTCACTCAAGACAGGCAAGGAAGTGCAACAGGCAGAATACAAATCTTGTCTCACGAATAGACATCCCAAGTTGACCATTCCTCTGCAAGGATTTTTTTTCTCTAGATACCACTTCCTAAGTGACTGTCATTTAAAGAGCACAAATATGTGAACTTCATGAGGGCAGAGTTCAGTTTTCCCTGATAACTACACAGGCACTAACTACACTTACAATAAATCCTGCTAAGAACTTTGAGACATCCTTAGACATGACTTAGGATCATAGAATTATACAGCACAGAAGAGGGCCATTTGGCCCATCGTGTCTGTGCTGGCTCTTTGAAAAGATTCAATTCAATTGCACTCTCCCGCTCTATCTCCACAGCCCTGCAAACTTGTCATCCCTAAAAAATGATCTACTTCTCTCTTAAAAGCTGTTATCGAATCGGTTTCCACCATCCTTTCAGGCAATGCATTCTAAGCTAAACAACTTGCTGCGTAAAAAAAATTCTCCTCACCTCCCCTCTATTTCTTATAACAACTATTTTAAATTGGTGTCCTCAGGTTACCGACCCACCCGCCAGTGGAAATAGTTTCTCCTTGTTCACCCTATTGAACCCCTCATAATTTTGAAAACTTCTATTAAGTCTCCTCTTAACCTTCTCGGCTCCAAGGAGAATAATCCTAGCTTCTCTAGCCTCTCCTGATAACTGAAGTCCCTCATTCCTGGTACCATCCTAGTAAATCTCCTTGGCAATCTCTCCAATGCCGTTACATCCTTCCTAAAGTGTGGTATCTAGAACTGAACACAGAACTCTATAGCTGAGGTCCAAACAGTTATAAAGGTTATACATATTATTATTATTATAAAGGTTCATCATAACTTGCTGACTTTTGTATTCTATGACCCTATTTATAAAGCCTAGTATCCTGTATGCTTTTTTAACAGCTTTATCTATCTGTCCTGTCACCTTCAAAGATTTATTTATAAGAACCCTCAAGTCTCTCTGTTCCTTCTGCCCCTTCAAGATTGTACCATCAGCTTATATTGCCTCTCGTTATTCCTCCTCAAATGCATCACTTTGCATTTCTCCACATAAAACTTCATCTGCCACGTGTCTGCCCATTTTCCCAGTCTGTCTATGTCCATTTGAAGTCTGCTACTATCCTCCTCACAGTTTACTACTTTTCCTAGCTTACTATCATCTGCAAACTTAAAAATTGTACTCCCTATACCCAAGTCCAGGGTATATATAGATCAAAAACAGCAGTGGTCCCAATACTGATCCTTGGGGGACACCACTGCACACTTTCCTTCAATCAGAAAAACAACCGTTCACCACCACTCTGCTGTCTGTCTCCCAGCCAGTTCTGTATCCATGCTGCCACTGTCCCTTTAATACCGTGGGCTTCTATTTTGCTTACAAGTCTTATGTGGCACTTTATCAAACATCTTTTGAAAATCCATATAAACTACATCAACTGCACTACCTTCATCCAACCTCTCCATTACTTCATCAAAAAGCTCTTATCAGGTTTGTTAGACATGATTTGCCTTTAACACATCCGTGTTGGCTGTCCTTTATTAACCCATATTTTTCTAAGCAAAAATTGATTTTGTCCCGGATTATAGTCCATAGAAGTTTCCCCACGACTGACGTTAGGCTGACTGGCCTGTAGTTCCTGGGTTTATCCTTCTGCCCCTTTTCATACAGGGGAGTAACATTTACAACTCTCCAATCCTCTGGCACCAACCCGGTGTCCCAAGGAGGATTGAAAGATCGTAGCCAGAGCCTCCATTAATTCCACCCTTACTTCCCTCAGTAATCTAGGATGCATCCCATCCAGACCGGGTGACTTACCTACCCTGAACACCCGACAACCTTTTTAGTACCTCCTCCTGGTTTATTCTTATCTTATCCAATTTCTCTACCTTCTCCTCTAATACTGTGGCATTGGCTGTATCCTCTTCTTTTGTGAAGACAGATGCAAAGTACTCATCCAGTGCATCAGCTATGCCCTCTTCCTCCACAAGAAGATTTCCTCTGGTCCCTAATTGGACCCCCACTAGATTCGACTAACCTTTTTATTCTTTATATGCTTATAAAATACATTAGGGTTTCCTTTTATGTTACCAATCTTTTATGTTACTAATCTTTTCTCATACAATCTCTTTGCCCCTCTTATTTTTTTTCAGTTCTCCTCCGTACTTTCTATATTCTATTTGATTATCTTCTATATTTTGGACCTGACATTTACCATAAGCCTCCTTTATCTGTTTTATTTTAATCCCAATTTCCTCATCCATCCAGGGAGGTTTGGATACCCTACCTTTCCCCTTTGTGGGAATGTATTTGTTCTGTCACCGAACTATCTCCTCCTTGAAGGCTTCCCATTGCTCGTTAGCTGTTTTACCTGACAATCTTTCTTTCCAGTCCACCTTGGCTAGGTCCCTTTTTAACTCACTGAAATTTGCCCTCTTCCAGCTGAGTATCTTCACCTTTGATTGCTTCTTGACCCTTTTCATAAGTACTCTAATCCTAATGATGTTGTGATCACTGTTGTCCAGATGCTCTCCTACTGAACCATGCTCCACTTGCCCCACTTCATTCCCCAGAACTGGATCCAGCACTGCTTCCTTCCTTATTGGGCTGGAAACCCATTGATCCAGAAAGTTATCCTGCACACATTTCAGAATCCTTCCCACTCCTTGCCCTTTGCACTTTTATTGTTCTGTCTATGTTGGGATAATTGAAGTCCCCCATGATCACTGCTCTATTGGTTTTGCATTGTTCTGAAATCTGCTTGCAGATTTGCTCGTCTGTCTCTTTCCCACTATTTGGAGGTCTATAGTATACTCGTAATATAGTAACAGTTCCTTTTCTGCTCCTTAACTCTAAACAAATAGATTCTGTTTTTGGACCCTCTAACACATCATTCCTTTCCAGGGCCATAACCGTGTCTCTAATCAATATTGCCACCCCCTCCTTTTTTTCCTTCCCTATCCTTCCTGAATATATTGTAGCCAGGAATATTCAGCTCACATTCCTGCCCTTGTTTGAGCCAGGTCTCCATTATTGCCACTACATCATAACCCCCATGTGGCAACTTGAACCTGTAGCTCACCAATCTTATTTGTCACACTCCATGCATTTACACACATGCACTCCAAGACCAACTTAGTCTGTTCTGCATTTTCTCTTCGCCTAATCCCTCCTTTTTCTGGACTACTCCTTATTACATTGCTATTTGTCTCTCCCAGCCCTCTATGTAACTTATTTGCCCTTCTAATGCGGTATCCTGATTCCCTTTTCCTCAAAATTAGTTTAAACCTTTCCCCACAACACTAGTTAACCTCCCTGCGAGGATATTGGTCCCAGCCCTATTCAAGTGTAACCCATCCACTTTGTACAGGTCCCACCTGCCCCAGAATTAGTCCCAATGATCCAGGAACCTGAAGCCCTCCTTTGTGCACCATTTCTCTAGCAACGTATTCATGTGTTTGATCTGGCTGTTTTGATACTTGCACGAGGCACTGGGATTAATCCAAGAGCACCACCTTTGAGGTCGTACTCTTTAGCTTTTTCCCTAGCTTCTGGTACTCTCCCTGTAGGATTTCAGCTGTTTTTTTTCCCTACGTCATGGTTCCCAACATGGACCCCGACTTCTGGAGGTTCCCTTTCCCCCTGTAGAACGTTTTGTGTAAGTGCAGGGCACACAAAGCATCCTGGAGTTCACACATGGCATACACTGTGCATGCAACCGGTCTCAGCTGCCCTGCAATATTCCCAGAGATGTTATATATTATTTTAATATAACTATTGTATATTTTATGTTTATGCACCTCTTTCCCCATCTGCACCAAATTCCCACGCTCACCAAATTCCTTAACAGAATTCTCACTCTGTTCCACCTCACACAGTTCCCTCCTCATGCTCCTGGGCTCTCTGCTCAAGTGAGGCTCTCGCAAGTCTTCTCTTTGTCTTGAAAGACATTGTATCAAATGCAAAGATTTTTAATATACACATTTATTTCTATATATGAATAGAATTAAAAACGTAAGTGTATTTGATCTGCACAAGTGAAGAACAGAATTAGTTTAATGAAAGTAACCTATATATATCTACATCATTATTGAAACTAGGATGACCAGTATTCTGCAAAAATGTATGTTTTGGTCATGCAATTTTCTGCACTTGCAAAATGTATGTCATTACAGCACACGCAAAGCAAACCAAGCAAACCACATTGTACTCTACAGTAAAATTATAGGAAAAGTTAACGTTTCATAGTTTCCAAAAGTATATGGAATTTTCTGACCATTCTTAAAGACATGTATTTTCAAAATAAATTTAGTTAATAATCCAGTTAATAATAAAGCCTTTGCCCTATTGCTGGTTTCAATGTTCATTTTCCAGTTAGCAAGATCATTATCTTATTGAATTTCTTGCTTTGAATATGTAGCAAAGTTGTGGTGTCAGACTGATGTAAATGGGATTTTAGTTTGACTGGTTTTACAGTCAGAACTTTATGTCATTTGAATTTGACTTTAATTTGGTTTACCACATCTATTTTAACCATATAGGTGACTTCATTGTGACAGGTATAAATCCCCATAATAAGATAGATATCCATTGTTGTACAGCATTAGTGAGCATAATAATGCAATACAACCATTCACCCATTCTGGTGACCTTTAAAGACCGAATAAACACAGAATACTTTTTCTTGTACAGACATTCACAAACATAATAATCGTTGCTCTGTGAACCATTCATATAGTTTTATAACTCTTTAAGATCAGGATTGAAGCTTGGAAACAAAAACTTGTCAATTTGATAGCAAATTAATTAATTGGTTGTCTTTTGTTGCATTTAAATGGGGAGATTAATGTAAAATTAATTTTAAATACATACCTTTGCTTCTGTCCCTGGATCAATTAAGTAAATAGATGGGTTAACTTAAACAGTTCTGGTACAAGAGTTAACCATGCTTAAATCCTGAAAGAGTTCAGTCAAAGCCAAATTATATATTCTTTTCAGTTTCATATGGAATAAGCTATTTTAGTCACAGCAGCCTTTTAACAAGGTGACTTTTGAAAACTTCTTAATCTTTGTTGTTTATCCAAATGCTGCCGCCCACTAGGACTGCTAGCTGCTGAAAGTAGGTATCCACTCGTTTCTCCTTTAAGTATCTCATTATGCATATACTGTGTGCTTTTCTGTGTGTAACATTTCATCGCCTCTGTTTACCTAGCAGTAAGTCTGTTTACCCAGCAGTAAGTAGGAACCCGTTTGTTTTTCGATTGGCGGGTCGCTTTCCGGGGATAAAAAAAACACTTCAATCGATTTTACAATATGTTCTGTGAAGCGGAGATGTCTCAATAATGTGATATGACACTATATTAAATGCAAAAATTATTATTATTGTTATTATTTATGTGTCTTTCTTCACAGGCATGGTACTGACAGAGTAGTTTCCTGCCGTATTTATCATATCTGATGTGTGGATGAAAATATTTCAAAAAGCATCCTTAGCCCTGGTGTTATCAACAGGATCAATTCAATTGACTAAAACCACTCAAATAACAGGAATCAAAAATGATGTGTATTTGATATGAACAGCAGATTTTCTTTAGCTGCAGTTACTCTTACCAGTTAGTTTATTTTGTAACTACAAATATTTAAGCAAAATGAAAAAAACCTTTATTTACTGTTAAATGTATTATTTAGCCAACTAAGTGTGTACTAAAAGTCAGGTCTTGAATAGAACTGAATATTATCATATTAACAGACTTAAAAGCACTAGTCTTGCATCTTTGTTATACTAGTTCTATGATGTTTTTGTCTTTTCATAGTCCTCATGGAGGAATGAGGTGAGAGATTTTGATGTTGGGACCCTTTTCTACATTAACTCTCAACATCAGCATCATTCACACTCAGCACACTCTGGGTCTTACGGGTTTGTTTGTGCGTGCAGCACAAGAGAAAATCATCTTCCGGAGTTTCACTTCCTTCCAAATATTCCTTGGTTGCGATCAGGCTATGCTGAGTCTTACTTTTCCCCTTGCTATGGCAGTATTTCAAACATTAAATCCACATTCCCTCAAGACTGCTTTATTCACAGTTTTAATTCAGATTCAGCCCCTTTTAGGTTTTCCTAAACAACAACAAAAAGAAGTTACATTTGTAGAACGCCCTTCACGTAGAGAGGACGGCCAGTGAAATATTGGTATAGGTATTTTAGTGAAGCCTCTTATACCACTTATTCTGGATCTTGATTTTGTACATGACTGTAAATCCTGCACAAGTGAGGAAAGTGCTAAACTATGAAGTGTTTGTCAATTGTCCCTCATAATTTTCTGCTCATTATTTCACCTGATAATTCAGCCAAGAGAATTAACTTTTCATAGATGACCAGGCTGAGAAAGGAATTTTACTTCACGTAGATTTGTTGAAGAATAACCTTGAGTATATAGAAGACAAACTATACACGACATTACAAAATATTTTTGGAAACATACAAAATAAAAATTATTTCAAAGCCATGTCTTTCATGGTAGTTTTCACCATTACTGATCTTCAAATTGCGATGATTTTTCTGTTTTAATTAGTTGTACAGTATCATGCCTGGTGAGTGATTTGACTTATCAATGACTGTTTTTACCAAATTGCTTATTTTTTCTCATCTTCTCTAGGCCATCTTATAACCAATCTGTTCATACCGTTCTCATCCTTTTCAATTTCTTCAACCTGGTAAATGAGCCACATAAGTGCAACCAAGATGCTTTCCATATCTCTCAAGAATATGATCTGTTTGTATCTCCAGGGGCTGTTTCACAGGTACTGGACAGTTTGGAAGAAATCCATGCACTAACAGATTGCAGTGAAAAGGATCTGGATTTTTTGCACAGCGTTTTCCAAGATCAGCATCTTCATACACTACTTGATGTAAGTCATACTTAAGCTTTAGAGACTACTTTGTGTGAAATATAGTTCCAGTATCCATTTTAATGAATCAATTTAAAGCTTTTGTTAAAATCTTTAATTGAACGTCTGGTGGCCTATAGAAGAACCCAGCTAGATGAGAATCCCAGGTTGATTTCAATGCACAAGAAAGATTGTAAACCTGGAGAATCATTTGAGCAAGTATGGATATGTTTTTAAATGTTTTACCGCGTTGTTTTGTTCCTCTGACACTCAGAGGTGTGATGAACTATTTTCTGAGAGGTGACGATAGTAGATTTCTAAATTACTGTAGCAAATAAAATAATTTACTTAGTCAGCTGCTGTAGTATACCTTAGCTGTAACCACTGCAGGGTGAATTAGGGAACTGCTGCATTTTTTTTAGTGTTTGTACAGTTCCCACTTAATCTACTATAATTTATTCTTCTCTGTGTTTCCATTCCGTTTCCTTCAGATATTTTTAAAATTCTGCCGAAAGCATCCTCAGATCATGTCAATTTTTAGATTCACTCTAACTTGACACTCCAGCAATGTGTTTATGCTGATCCGGCTTTATGGACATTGGTTGGTGAAGCCAAATGTATTAGAACTTTTAAAAAAGAAATTATTGTGACGCTCTATTTGCCAGCATAAATAAATAAAAATAAATAAACAAAACGCAAAATACCTCAGATGCTGGAAATTTGAAAACAAAAACAGAAGTCGCTGGGAACACTCAGCAGGTCAGGCAGCATCTATGGAGAAAGGAAAGTGAGACAACGTTTCGGGTCCATGACCCTTCGTCAGAACTGGGGCATGTTGGGAGGAAGAGGCTTTTAAGGGCTAACTGAGTTCTGACGAAGGGTCGTGGACCCAAAACATTGATGCAATTTCCTTTCTCCATAGATACTGCCTGATCTGCTGAGTGTTCCCAGCGACTTCTGTTTTTGTTTGAAGAATAAATAAAGTTGTCCCTTCAGGTTTGGTGCCATATTTTTAATGCTGTGATGTTATTAGAGATTTGGTGCCTTGGATTTCAGTCACACTTCATTGTTGGCCATATAAAGCTGAGGATGTTTATTATTAGCTAGGGCAACATATGGAGTGCTAAAATTGGTCTCGGTATCCTTGGACTAGGAAAATCAAGGGAAATCAAGAATGTGTATAATTCAGTTCTCAATAAGAGTATACTCAAACGGGGAAAATGACAAAGCAGCAAGTTTCTCAGGCATATTTTGGGAGCTCAAATCCACCAGTCTTACCCCAACTTCACATTGAGCTTTCTGTTAATCAAACCAGTAAAACCCTGAGGCTCAGAGAAAGCCACAACAGCAACAAATTACAATTGTATAGAGCTCTTCACATCAGATGGACGGCCCAAAGTGCTGTACAATCAAGGGCGTGTACGCAAGCTGAGGGTTAAGATCAGAAGGGGCAGAGGGCAGGAAGGGTGGCTGTTTCAGACTGTACAGTAATTTAGGAGCTCAGCATCAGTGACCACTTTGCACCATTTCTGCAGAAACTATCGTCAATCCAGGGCATATGAAAAACAAGAATCTGGGGAGCTGATCATCAGTTCATGCAGCAACCAGTAGCTGTACCAGCCCCTACTCCTACTCTGACTCTCATTCTTTTTCAGCCTGCATCCTCTGTCTTTGTTGGAAAACACTGCATAGTGTGCGAAAGGGAACAGTAGCTTTGAACTTACAAAATGAGGGTGTGGATTTGAGGAAAAACTCATTAAGTATTATATGATTTAAAGTTTAGTAAATGCAGATATTAAAATATTCTATAGGTTTCTTTTACTTTTAATAACATTAAGAATTTGTATCAGAATATGTTAGTAAATATTTACAGTGAAAAATATATTTTAACATGCTTCCTGCAGAATAAATAGTTTGAAGCTTTCAATTTATTTGATCAGTCATGTGTCTTATACGTGCAGAAACCCATTACATAAGAATATCCAAACCACATTGAGAGTTCCACGTATGTATGAAAACAAATAGGAAACTTTCTTGGTCTCTATGGCTGTTTCATAGAGATGCTTTACCAGCATTGGGCACCACTTTGACCATTTCTGCAACCATGTTGGCAGTCATTTATGAAATTACTTCCGTATATGTAATCTTACATTTTGTATTTCTTCACTGATATCATTAGTTTTCCAATTACTTTGGTGAGACTGTTTGATCTACGGTTTCCAGATCATCCTTTTTTTAAAATATAGGAACCACATTTGTGTGTTTCCAATTTTACAGATCGTCAAAATGTCTGATGAATATTTCAAAATTTCCTTTGCCTTTCTAAGTTCATCTACCTTGGGGAGCTATTAGTTTTCAGCCTTTGACCCTTGTCTAAAACATCTACCTTTCTTATGTCAAAGTCCTAGAGGTCACCTGACAAGTATTGCATGTTGGCCAGAATGCTGTTAGTGTCCTTGTTCATTTTATTTTTGTAAAAAAGCCAAGGAATAGTTATTCAATATGTTCCTGTCTTTTGTATTCCTTTTTTCATGACTCATTGGGCCCTTTGGATTTTCACTTTTAATCGTTTTGTCTGCCAAAACATCTTTGGCTGCTCAAACATAGCTTGAGGTAGAGAGGAAAAAATCTGTCAGGGTTTGAGACATTGATGTGCTGTCCATGACCCCTGCTGTGGTGGGTGCATGTGTGAACGTTAGGTGACAACAGAATCAGGCGTAACCATATTCACTTTGCAGTCATATAATCTGTAAAACATAATACCCACTAGAGGGCGACTGGTACCCATAAAACTACCAGTAGTAAGGGAAAAAACAGTCCAACGCCTTAAGGAGAGGAGGAAAAGTGGACAGAATTGTCAAGGGGGAGGGTGGGGGAGAGTATGAGGGTATTGGGTCAAAGTTTAAGCTTATGTTTCCAAACTAATCAGATTTTTTNCCTCAAATGCATATGCATTACCAGAAGCAGAATTTATTGAGTCTGTTCATTCAGGTCAATGTATGGTGAAAGACAGAAAGATGTACATGTACACGCAGAAATATACTATACCAGAGAAATGTTATGAGCAAGAGAAGAGCTACTGTTGCGTGGATAGTGGGGGGAGGAGGAGGACTTGTATTGTAATAAAGCCCAGAGAGAAGGACGGCTGGGGTCTGGGGGGAAGGGAGAGGGACTGGCACGGTGTGGTACTACAGTGGTAATATAATTTCTAGTGGAATAATACTGTGCATTGTATTTCACCCTCTTTTGATATCCATAGTGAGGCTGGCCCAAGTCAGTGCATATATCAGGCAGTATTGGATGTTAAATCCTCCCGACACGAAAGGCACTCTATAAATGTAATTTTGTTTCTGTTGTAAATAAAGTAGTTAAAGGGTTAATCTTTCAAGGGCTCTTAAAATTGCTGCTTGTTGCTTTCAGGGATTTAAAGAAAATTCTATGGCTGCCAAATAAAGGCTTGCAGCTCCCACCATCTCTGCCTGGTACTTTAGTTCTACTCTGTGATGCCCAGCTTAGTACAGCATTACTATGCCAAAGCTGAATGTTTTTGATTGATGCGCAGTGCAATTGTATTAAGGCAGGATGCAATTTGAAGGGGGCAATGATGTACACATTTGAAATGAATGAAGAATATTACTTTGCTATATCTTTTTAATAATAAGCAAAGCAGCTCTGGTAGTAATCCTGAACTGAGAAGTTTATGAATGATTTTAAAGGAGCCTTGTTACATTTCCATGTTTAAAATAAATTCTTCAGCTAAAATGTACTAATACACAAATTAACATGTGTAAGATTATTTGGTTAAATTCTAACAAAGCTGAGTCTAGCTTTATACAAGCCTAACCGCCTTCAATATTTTGTCTGGTTTCTTTGTTCTTATCAAATCTAAGCGTCTGGCCTCCAGCCAGCCAGAAGTCCTGTGTCTAGTGGGGGCAGGAAGAGATTCTGTGAGCTTGTCTGTTTGACACAAATATGTTTTCTGTGGAGCGCAGAGAGAAAATTTACATAGGAGCTGCTATTAGTCAGCTGTCTCCATTAAAGGCCTTTGGGTTCCACCCCTGAAGGAACTTCGACGCTCCCTGAGGACCGATACCATAGGCAATTCTGAATACAAATGTCAATAGATTTGCAAGTTAAATCTTGCATAGGGAGGGAACAATTTGAGCTCTTGGTTTTTGGAGCCATTCTACACTCGTTGCTTTGTCAGTGACTGACTGTGAGAACTGCAGGATACACAAAGCCATAGCAGCCTGAGCTGGTTAAAAAGCCATCAAAGACTTTTAGCTTGGAACTGAATTGCATTGTTTCAGATTTACTCCGTTCATCTGGGGATATTTACTGGTATATAGGTGAGTTAAAACAAAGAGTTAATGGCATGATTGTGTATAATACTTTATGAACTTTCAAAATGAACCCATTTGAAATGGAAATGTGAAAGCTGTTGCTAGCAAATGCTTTTATTGTGGATGATGTTGACTCTTATAGGGAATATAGAGGAGGTTTGAGTTATAGAACAAAGATAATGCAACTTTTACACAAGATTAGTGCATTATAAAATACTATAGACCGACCCTCTTCAGTGAGTTTAAACCAAAGCGAATATTTGCTTACATATTTATACTTCCAACACAAGTTTTTCCCTTAAAGCATTGTAATTATTCATCAGATTTCAGAGAACTGCTTATGTCTCCAATGTGAGTGTGTGTGTGTATGTATTTGACAGACATTGGCTAATTTCAGTTGAATAGCGCTCTGGCTTTCAAAGGAACTGCGTGAATTTATTGGTCAACCATCTGTTCTCAATGAAAATGTTCAAGGGGATAGTAAGATTGTAGGCATTTTATACTTAGGATTTGTGCTGCTAATTTCAGGTGGGATCCAGTTTGAAACAGGACAAGAGAAAATACTTTTCAAAGGAAAATCATTTTAGAACATAGTCACTTACTGAGATAAACTGAGTTAATGCAATATTCAATAGCAATAATTCCTTTATTAATGATTACCAACTCATACCATTTGAGGCAACTGTAAGCGCTCGGAAATGCCGTCCGGAGTGAAGGGCACTATATAAGTGAAAGTTGTTGTTTAAATTCTCGAGTAATTTGATGGGAGTTGGAGTGCAGCAGAAGTTCAGTGGAACAAAGCCTCAGTCCCTTCTTTTTTTGAATAGACATCTGGTGACTTTGTTCTTTCCCAGGGGGTATTAGCTTCTGGGGTTCACAGCCTTCTCTTCAACAATGCCTTCAGCTCCCCTCTCGACTCTCTACCCCTCCTCGCTCCCTCCCTTCCCTCACCCTGACCATGTCCCCCCTGCTCGGGTCCCGACCCAACTGTCCAGCGCCTTGAGACGTCCTCCCGACGTGAAAGGCGCTCTATAAATGCAATCATGTTGTTGTTGTTGTATCAGTCAAATTCTGTGCCATGTTTCTGTGGTATGAGCTCTGACTTTCAACTCCTGACTCTTTCGAAAGTGGTTTCTAATATATGTGCGCAACCTTTGACCCAATAGAACAATTCAGGTGTTCATTCAAACACAGACTAGATTATGTTTGGCAGAATATGTGATTGAGATATTTAAAATAATGAAAGGAATTGATGGTGAGATCAATTCAGTTGGTTTCAGTGACCCTTTTCCTCCCTCCCGACCCGTAAGAGCTAATGTTCCTCCTCCCAAATGCTACTCTATTTGGAAAATTCACATGTGTGGGCATCAGGTGAGGCTCAACTGATATCACCATGGACCAGTCGAATGGGTTGCTAACACTTACATGCTGGTGTCATGACAAGGTACAAGACGAGTACTGGCACCTATGGAAGCAGTCCGCAGCATGAGCCACCAACTTCTGAAGTAGAGAGAGGAAAGGGGAAGAGATTTAGAAGAGGGTAAGGGACAGGATTGTGATCTCACTAATTAGACATTTTTTTTAAATGGAGAAAGGTGACTAAATGCAATATAGAGTCATTGGACATTCCCTTACGATTCACTTTACATTGAAGGTTCCATCTGAGTCATGTTATTGTAGGAAGAATTGGAGCCAAGGCAGTCCCCATGGGCCCATTAAGACTGGGAAAATGTGAGACGCTTCTACTTGAGCTATTCTCTCACACTTTTTGGGGATCTCTTGCAGAAAAGTATTCCCAGAGGCTAGGTTCACATCCTCAGCTTGTCAAACTGCAGGAGGTATGTTTTGATGGCATATTGAGGCTTGAGAAAGGACAGAAGATGACAGCTTACTAAGAATAGAGATCATCGTATGACCTAAAGTGATCCACTGTGATAATCAGTGAGATGCAGGCAGTGAATTATTTAACAATAATCTTCTGATTAATTTAATATTATATTAATTTTAATTATGGCCAGATATGTTATCTTTAAGGAGGACTCAATTGGTCAAAAGGGTAAACATTAACAATAACAACAATAACAACAACAAAATTACATTTGTAATGAAATGCCTTTCACTTCGGGAGGACAATCCAAGGTGCTTTACAGAATATACTGCAAAAAGTGAATTGACTATATATTTTGTAATAATAGTATAATAAATATAATACATAGTATAATAAATAATAATTATTTAAGATTTTATAAGCGACAATAGGGGATTTAAATAGGGGAGGTGAAAAACACTTGATTGTTCCTCGTGTTTGTTAGTTCAGTGCCCAATTCTACCATAAAACATACTACAACTGAATGTATTGCAACATCGTACAGCAACAGTCTCCACTCACAGTAAACTTTGACTAATAAAAAAGACAGGTTAAGAATTATAATCATAATCCTTGCATTTGATAAGGCGCCCTATCACGTCTTGGAAATGTCTCAAAGCGCTTCACAGAATATACTGCAAAGCGAATTGACTGTATATTTTGTGGGCGAAACTCGGCAGCCAGTTGCACACAGCAGTGTCCCACAAACAGTTGTGGATTGAGTGACCAAATTATTATTATTATATTTATTTTTTTGAAGGGATAATTCCGCAAATCGATTATTCCAGAATGTGATCTGCAAATTGACTAATAACCAAGTTCCTAGTTACTGGCTAGGTAAACAGAGACGTGTGGAGTAAGGAAACTTGCTTGAGAATCAAACCCAGGTCCTCTCACTTACAAGTGCTCTAACCAATACGCTACAGGATTCTAATACTGTAATTAAGTGATTTGGTGTGAAAATTTCATCAGTTACGTTTTCTTTAGTCTCTTAGATCTCACTCATTTGGGAATTCTCTAAGCCCTGTTCGCAATAGCAAATGTTCCAATGCACACTTTCTATGGGATTTCCCATTATAAGTACACAATAAAATCATGCCAGGCTAAGAGTACATGATAACCTCTACTGCGTGAGCTGTCACTATAGAGATGGAAATATGTTAGGACGATTGAGATCAGTGCTTATCAAGGTCAAGAATGTCAGGAATGGAGGACTTTTGCACCTAGAATCCACATCACAGCAGATATGGGTTAATCTCTCCAAGAGGAAATACTTTAGTTTCCATTTTGCACAGCAGACAGCCTTTCGGGCTGAGCTGAAAATGCAGTGCCAAATTATGATCATTTTATGATGGTATTATTCCATTCCCACTGGAAACTGGGTTGAGCCTGGCCAAGCACTTTTCACGCATGATCCTTGCAGCTAGCTAGTTCATTCCATCTGTCTGGGAATCCACCCAAAGGTGACTGTGTGCTAATCCACTACACTGCCCAGTACCTAGTACTTATCTTTCTTAGGCCCCAAGATTCTTTTCTTTCAACAAGTATAAAATGAAAAATACTTCCAATATTAAAAAAATAAAATGTCTACATTCTTCAAATGCTTTTCTGTCAGCACATAAACTGTACAGCAGTTTTGTTTCCCCACATCATAAAATTATAAGTTGGTAAACGTTATAAATATCTTACCAAGTTTGGTTATTTTCTAAAGCTTCAAGCAGGGCAGGTCGCACAATCTTTGTTTTGTAAAAAAAAATTTGTTGCATTCTTTTCATGCGTTTCATAATTGCCCTGGAATTCATCCCAAGTAAAATAAGAAATACATCGGCAAGTTAGTTTCCCATTGACCTGTCCTGATAAACATCAGAATGTCTGCTTCATCGTTCATTCAAGAGTCTAATCAAATTCCTAGTGATTCTTGGAAATTGCTCTAACTGGTTTCTTGTGATTTGATGGCTGCATATCAATACTATGAGTACACTAAATATTATTAGTATTTATTTTAAAATTCTTGTGGACACTTTAAGAATTAAATAATAATCCTTGATTTTTGATATAACTCCTTATCAAGTCAAAATGTCTCAAAGCACTCCATAGGACTGTAAGGTGTAGTATTTGTAGGCAAACACCTACAATTTATTAGGCAAGAGAATGCTCGCTGCTCTGTATTTCATTCTAAAAAGTATAAGAATAATTGAACTTATATAGCTCCTGTCACACTGCAAGAACATCTCACCAAAGTATCTTCCAGCCCCCAGATCGGGTGCAAACCCTTCACTGTCCAGTACCTTGGGACATTCTCCTGACATTAAAGGTGCCAAATGAATGCAGTTTTATCACAATTCTCTGTAAGGTTTTTGGTGTAGTACTGTGTAACATTCAAAATGTCTGTGTAATTCACTGCAGGCATTAGTTCATCAAAGATGCTGGATACTGTCGTCGTTGTGGGTTTGCAGAGATCCTGTTCACTGCAGCAAATAATAATAACAATAATTGCATAATAATAATTGCATTCGATATGGAGCCTTACCACGTCTTCAAGACATCTCAAGGGACTTCACAGAATATACTGTGAAGTGTAGTGACTGTGTATTTTGTGGGTGAAACGCTATTGGTATTGTAAAGAAGGTAAAGAAGCTAACCAGTGGAAAATATTTAATGCAGCAAATAAGGGGATATTAACATTTTTAAAGAAAACTATACTGATGACTTGAAATTCGAGGTTAGTTAATCTCATTGCAATTACCTGGTCTGTTGATCTTCTCAACTTGCTGTGTCAGCTTAGTTCATTGGAAGCACTCTTGCCTCTTGAGACAGAAAGGTTGTGGGATCGAGTCGCACATCAGGACTTGGAATCACAAAGTCTAAGCTGACACTCCAATGCAGGGGAGTTGTTGCATTGTCAGAAGTGCTGTCCTTTGGATGAGACTTTAACCAGAGGTCCCGTCTGCTTGTTCAAGTGGACGTTAAAGATCACATGGCACTATTCGAAAAGAGAAGGGAGTTCTTTCCAGTATCCTGGCCAACAATCCCCAAAATAAAATTGGTTATTCACTCCAAGGCTGTTTGTGGGACATTGCTGTGCACAACTGACTGCTGCATTTCACACACAAAATATATTTTACAGTATATCTTGTGAAGCACTTTGAGATGTCTCAACAATGTGATGAGGCACTATATCAAATGCAAGGTTATTATTATGATAAAATTACTAATTAATTTTCATAGTATTCAATTAACCTGATATCATTGTGTACTTTTGTTGAAAATGTAACACTTTTAGTGAGAAAATATGGATTAATAGGTCCTTCTAGTCATTTTTTAAAAAACTGCTTGTAGGTGTAACCTAAACCAAATCCCCTTGGTATTCCAAGATACTAATTTGAATCCTTGAAATATGGACAGTGGATTTCATACATCAGCACAGAGTGAACATTGGTTTTCTTATTTTGTTATCTTTGCTGTTGGCTATGGATTCTTTGCTTCTATTTTGTTGAAGAACTGGCAGTTAATCGCCTCATATACAGTTACCATTGTAGACCTCAGGTGACCAGTGTAATTAAATAAGAAATCAAAACTGTTTGTGGGACACTACTGTGCGCAATTGGCTGCCGAATTTTGCCCACAAAATACACAGTCACCACACCTTGTAGTATATTCTGTGAAGCACTTTGAGACGTGATAAGACCATATATCAAATGCAAGGATTATTATCTTCCTTCTGTACTTATAAAACAACAATGTCTGTCTGTGTGTCAGCCAAGATCTCAATAACCGATTTGACGTAGAGACATGATTTATACCTCATCGGAAAGGGAGTATCACAGGCATATTTTTTTTTCGGGGATCTTCTATCATTGATGAGTTATGACCTAAACATGCTTTGCGTGTCACAGAGCACGTATGTACGCACACAGCACGCATGCACTCAGACGAAGCCAAGCAGTGGGAACAAGATAAAGATGCCTAAGCGAACATCAAAACTTTCAAGTACAAATAAAAATGACAAACAAAACAAGAAGGCCGATTAAATGAAACTGAGGAACAAAGAACAGCTGCATTGCAATAACTCGAGGACCTGCCAGACCACCTGCCGGACCAAACCCCTCTGGTTAGCGTAGCTTTGATAAGATCTTCTATCGTTCATGAGCTATGGCTCATTGCACATGTATATTAAATGGTTTGTGAGTGGTATCACTGAAATCTACATTCCACATTGGATCCTTTGGTTGTAAGTGTAGCTGCAGTGGGTACAGCTTATATTATTATATTAGTTTAACCCGGGCAGTAGTTGGATCACTAGAATTGGCCTCTTGGGTTAGGGAGAAAAACCCTGGGATTTCTCACATTCCTATTTTACAGCCAGCATTATTCATCTACTAAAGAACACACAGAACTCTTTCAGGACACCATTTTCTCAGTATTACTAAGTAAGATGTAATGGTAGAGAATCAACAACATGAAAATTCAATACCGTCTGGCTGCTCCCCAACCTAAAATGATACTGAATGTTGAGGTTGTTGACACGGACCAGCTGCTGATCCACTCAACTGTCATGAGGTTACTTGCTTGATGAACCATCACAAATGCTATTTTGGTGGCCATCTTTTGAGTTTCAAATCCAATATGGGAAATTTTCAGGGGTTGGAGGTGAGAGAGCAAATTAATGGGAAAACTGAACTCTCATACAGAGCAGGCCTGCCTTATTTGACCGTTGCCCGACCTCCATTTCATCCAGTTTCGGAGTATCACTGCACATACTCAGTCTGAGTGCACATACTGATGGTCCATTGTACTAATAAAATCAGAATAATCTTGGCAATTCATTTCCACCATTCACATGTCAAGTTAGTTACTGGCGCCAACATGTAACTAGGTTCAACAGCATGAGGAGGGCTGGCAGAGACGAGGTTGGCTGCATTCTATTCACCATGTACCAGTTCCAGATGGAATACGAGAGGCACCAAAACTCAAAGGGACTCAGCCACACACTCATTTTTGGAGGAAGTGGAGCAGGATCATCTATTCCAGAGGATTTGAACTATTTGAACCACTCTATTGCTATATTTGCACTTAAACTGGAATAAACTCGGCATCTTCTGAGCATAAACAAGGTTTCCCAGAATAGATAGAGATTTTGTTTGAATGTCCATGTACTAACTAGGATGAGAGAGCACTGCCTTTCTCCCTTTGCATAGGTTGTGGTATGTTAGTGTATTTATTGAGAAAAAAATCAATTAACCCTTTCAGCAATCTAATGAGTTGTAACTTGTACATTTGGTACAGTGATTACTTGGTGCTGATATGTTATGCAATTGGTGTTAATTTCAAACCTAAATATAGATTTGTGCTAACCAAAGTACATTCTGTTTAATTCTAGGTATACGTCAATGTGGGGTCTAAACATAACTGAACTCTCTTACATTAGGGATTGAGTTTCCTAACTCACTTGGAACAAGAATTATTATTTTATTTGAAGGAGAGAATGTTCCATAGCACACCTAAAAATTGTCAGATATAACCTAGAATTACAGCCCCTTCACTGTTGCTTGCATTGATGGTCCACAGCTGTGTGCTCAGCACTTTGTGTGGTCTTTAATGGATAATGAATGATGTATTCAATTTTATTCTAAACGGTCAATGTTCTATTCATTGCAGTCTGTCCCTTTGTGGAGCATTTCTTTCCATGGTGTTGCTGGGAGTATTTTTTATAATTTATCTATAGATCAGGTAGTTTCAAATGGAAATTGCGACAGTCTGCTTGTTAATGTATATCTTTTCAAGAAGAGATTTTCCTCCAATATGAGGCAGAGAGAACAGTTTTTTTCTTCCACCTCCCTTCTCCCCAACAGCTTTAAAATGTGTTGAAATGATTATAGCCTTGCAAAAAGCAGAGCATCTTTCTTTGCTTAGCCACGGTTCAATCTGCTTCACTAAAATGTAGATACTAAGCACTTAAGACCCTAAACTTGCTAATACTTGATGGTTATATTTTTACTTTAAGACTGTCATCCTACACAATAAGTCATCTTGCCCTTTAACTTAATTCATTTTTTGTTTTAGACAGTGGTTTATATTAACACTAATTCTTAGTTAGTCTTTTTATCAAAGCTCAATAGAAATATTGGAGTTTTAATTTTCTGGTTGTGCCAACCATATGCAAATGCATTTTGCAGAGGGAATTATAGGTTCTCTTAAATATAGTAAACTATGGATAACTCAACTCTGGCTTAATTTGTCACTACCACTTAAGTTGCCATGCTGTCAGTATCCCAGCTGCTTCCCACGCAAAATATTAATAGGGGACTCCACTGTACTTGTCACTCAGTTTAACACATAACTAGTCACATTCTAGAAATTCTTGTATTTACAATATAAAATTGATCCAATAACTCGTCATATAAGATGTTGTCTTGCATCGGAGAGGTCTCCTGGCCTATCTTGTGACTGGTGCAGGCTCAGATGCATTGGGGGCCTCTACGGTGTCAAGTTGCCAATAGTTGATTAACTTCATTAATAACAGCTTCAAACGACCTGTAATTGAAAATGTTCAGATTATTGATGATTCCCTGAATCTTATTTTTCTTATTCCTATTTGCTGATGGATACCCTTGTGATGTGTCATTGTTCTCATTGTCTCAAATTCCTTTCCTCAGTTTTAGTGGAGGCTTGTGAGTTAATTCATATGGAAATGTGCCCTTCCCAACATCAGACAGTGCTGCCTCTCCATTGTGAGGTTAAGTGGGTGGGCCGTTGAAACGGAATTGCCTGCAAAATATTCCAGACCATTTTTGTATGCTACTTAATGCATGTAGGATATACACAGATTTAATGTGACATCATTTAAGTTTAGTATAAACCAATGTTCAAGTACACCTTTTTCAATAAGCCTCAGTTTCTTTGACTCATCACTGCTGTGCAGGTTCATAAGGATTTGTAAAATTAAAAAAAAGTTATGATAGGGTTGTAAAATGCATGTGCTTGCATGTTTCTCTTTCACCCTCTGCCCCATACACCTTTGGAGTTTATTGTGGACATAACCCAGAAAGACTCAAAATATCACGTTACTGCAACATTCAAGTCAACTCTGTAAAATATCACAGCAATAAATCAGATAGTTTTATGTTATAGCCAACAGCGAGGGCTCTCACATGATTGCTTGAAAGACTTGCATATTTGAAGCAACATTTATAGATTCCATTTATGTCTGCTTTCTAAAAACCTGGAGGTTTGAAGGTCTAAGGTGAAAGGCAAATGTTATGGTTCTGACATGATTGCATGTGACCAAACAGTGAAAGCCTTGTACCACAAGTTGTTCAAATGGAGGCCTCAGCATGAGTAAGAGACATCAGTAACTGTCAATTGTCAGTATTAAGTAATGCAGGTCACCTCCATGTACTCACAAATTCATACTCTTAAAAATTTAGGGATGTACAATAAATAGTTGTGAGGCTCAGATACAAATGATGATGATCTGGTATTCATTTATTCACTATTTCTCAGTGAAACGTCATAGTCAGTGGGGAAGAATTAGGGGCCAGCAAAAAAGGAGCAGTAAAATGACGCCAAAGGATTTCAAAAAGTATGGAAGTAGAAGGCCTTTTGGCCCATTTGAACTCATCCTTCCAGTGTACCATTTTATTTTCATTAAACCATCTTCTACACTGCCTGACATTAATTGTTTCTGTCACTCTACTCTTCAAATACTTAGACAATTTTATTTTTCTTTGTCACATTTTCGCCTCCTCTCCTGAAGGTGTTTAACTCCTTTTGCTTTTAATAGGATATGGTTTCATAGAAGCTGATCATCTTCCAGGTACCTCACCCCCTCCTGGCCATTGTTCATTTGCGATAGGTGGTTATTCAACCACAAAGTGCTTTAC